TGAGCAGTGTGAGCAGGTATCTGAATCTTTGTCAGATTCAGATACCTGTCAAACCCATGGGAGCTGCAGCAAGGACTTAGCCTTGGTACATTCTACAGCCTAATAATTTGATTTGTTTTTTTTCTAACGCAATCATTACACTTTAGGAACACATTGATAAACCATATTCAAAAACTGAAATTCAGTTTACATGATAGTTAATGTGGCCTATCCATGGGTTAAGTATAGAAGAGATCCTGTATCTGGTAAAACCAAAATTAATGTCAATTAGTGTCTTGCAATCTGCAGCTTCACTGCTAGATGCCACTGCACTCTGGCCCTTTAACTAAAGAATGTCCTGTTGACAATTAAAAAGGGTAAACATACCAGGGCCAACTGGTGAAGAATGCCAAGAGTGAATGGCGTTGTGTAACATTAATGATAGGCAGGCATGGAATGGGAGCAGGGATTACATTTAGATGAGGAATTCTTTTTGAAAAAGCAAAGCACTAGCAATTAAGATAGATTCTTTATATAGTATTTGCCTCTAGCAAAAAAAGACTTAAATACTAAAGACTTTCTCTTCATACCAGAATGGAGCAAATTAGTTTTGCTGTTTACTAGAGTTGTGAATGTTAACAACTGGTACACGTTAAAAAAATAATCATTATGTGACAACTTGTTGCCGAGCCCTTTGTCCACTAATTCTGTACCGTACCATTATGTAGATGTCTCATCGGTTTAGTACTCTATATCTCACAGACAGTTTAACCCACTGATATTTCCACTGAGTTTCTGCCAGCACAGGAAGATGATCTGGGAATGCAGACAACACATAGTCTTTTATCTCTTTTATGAGGCACTTGTTAAGAAGCAGCAGAGATGACCACATTGATGCATCTGACACTTTTATATGGAGGTTACCTAAGAATTTGACATCCATGTGTAGGATTCATCAACCACACCACCATATCTGTGGATATTTACAGATGGAAAATGTCTCCCAGATTTAACATTTTAAAACAAAAAAAATTCACGCACATTTTCTATGTATCTCAAGAGGAAACATAAGTGCCAATCAAATGCATCCCCTCATCCAGTTTTTTCCCTAAAATGGCATGCAAACACGTCATAAACACTTCATCCTGAAGTGGGATGATTGTTTTTCCATGCACTGCATAGGATTGATTTGCAGGCCCATTAAATGAACCACATGAAGTCTTGAAACACCATGGCGACTGGTGGTTACACAGTCCTTTTTATAGTCTGTTCCGTGTTGTACAGCAACAGAACATTGTGCCCTGCCAGATATGATGTAATTTAAATCCCCCTTCCAAAGCTTCACCAACACTCTGGTTCAAACTGAGACATAGCAGATTTTGATCTGGTTGACATGGCAGAACAGATCGCTCTGTCAAAATCATAACTGGAGAAAAATGTAAATGAACACTGCTGCTGTTTGTTGTTTATGCCTCATGTAGCAGTGCAGTAATAGTCATTTGTTTTGCTAGATGTATGAATCAACCAAGGCAGGAAATGCAGGTCACTTGGTGTGGCTTGGATTAGTCTCATTTTGTGTGGTTTGCATATGATGGTATGATACTATAGGATGAGTTTTGTATAACAGTGGTTCTGAAGGTTTGTACCATGGATAGGTGTATAAAGTTTTAACTGCCAGGTACCAGAACATTCAGAGATACAACAGTCAGAGATATGGCTACATCAATACAAACTATAGATCCAACCCAAATTCAGAAAAAAAAAAAAAAAAAGAATATGGCTCTCAAAAACAAATCTTACAAAGTAACTTCCCCTCCTTCTAGGGTTACAGTGGTATACAGATTTAATTATTCCATATGTGCCTATACTGTAAATTGGCAGAACAGTGAAGAGTGAAAACTAAACAGAATAGTCATTCTTATACATTCTCTCACTGGGCTTCTAGTTATATATATTCTAGAAATATATATTATATTTCAACTAAATATATATGAAATCATTCCCAATTTATAAAATGGAAGTATCATTTAGAGCTGTGGTCTCAACCTGAGGACTGGCCACATGAAGTTGGTTCCCAGACCACTGCTCTGAACGATACTTCTATTATCAAATAGTTCTACAGGGGACACTTACTCAGATGTATACTCAGCTTTAATGTATTTACTTGAATGCTAATTAAGCTAACTAAGCTAGTAGGTATTAAGAGAGTGAGAGGCTAATGATCTAACACTGGAGAGTTCAGATTTGTCTGAATCTGCTAGAAAGTTTGAGTTTCACAGTTTGGTCGAGTTGTTTTCTGCTCACAAGGAGTGATAAATCAAAACTAGCGACCATTCCAGATAATAAAGTTTTATCTGTACACATTGGTTCAGATTTTATAGACGCATCGTCATCACAGAAATGGATTTTCATTTTTGTGTAGAACAGAAGGGAGACTGAGGAATCAAACAAAACAACTGAGCAGGCCAGCTCTCAAAAATCTACGGCTCCGAATTTGTCTCATCAGTAACTCGCAGTGCCAGCCAGGTGCCTCATCTGTTTCTCATGCAAATGTGCAACGCGTCTTGACCCACATAGAGGCAATCTGCACAGGATAATGGATGAGTTTTTGTCACAGAGAGACAAAGCAGCACATGTGGTTAATTGAGTAGAATCCGTACGGACGGTACTGTTTACTGTATGTGTGTGAAAGGGAAGAGGAGGACAGATGCTTTCATTCATAATAAATGCAGGTCACTTTACAGGACTGGCGAACAATTCGAAGAAATGTTCCCACATAAGTGGGCTCCTGGCTGACATCATCACCTATTGCACGCATATGTGGGGGTGTGTGTGTGTGTGTGTGTGAAATGTTTCCTTCTGTTAATGCTATCAAAGCCTCTGTCTAAGACTATGTTAACACAGAGCTGCTTAAATCTGAAAATGCTGAAAATACATGTCTTTAGTAAGGATATCTGATTGGACTGATAGGTGACAGTGATGAGAGGGTAAATAAGATCCTAGCCCTTTGGTGTCATGACCTTCATTATTATTTTAATGTCAGTAAGACAAAATAAATCATTGTTGACTTTGGGAAGGAAAGAAAAAAATTCTGCTCTAGTTTCCATCAGCGGGTCATCTGTCGAAATTGTGGGCAGTTTTAAATTTCTGGGTCAACACATTAAAGACACACTCACATGGTCCCTCAACACCAAGGGCATCCTCAAGAAGGCACAGCAGAGGCTGTACTTTTACCGATTTCACCATCGAGTGTGTGCTGGCACGCTGCATCACAGTGTGGTTCGGCAGCCTGACGGCACAGGACTGTATAAAACATAAACAGGATAGTAAAGCAGCTAAAACCATTGACACACAATTACCACAACTCCAGGACATTTACAACACTGGCCACAAAGAGAAAGCCCTGTTCTCTCTTCTTCTGTGTGAGAAATGTTACCGGCCCATCAAACCTCACACCACCTGTCCCAGTAACAGCTTTTTTCCACAGGCGGTCTGGCTGCCGAATAGTTGACGCTCCCACATGCACTGTAAATAGTATGTATGCATTGTTATGTGCTTATGTGGATTGTGTTACTCTTATGTAAGGTACTCTTAAATGTTATGGTATGGATGGTCTGTATTTATTTATGTACACAAAGGATGAGAGTGGCTGTAAGTAAGCTTGGTTTGAACTTCTCTCTCAAACTCTCTCTTTTTTCATTTTGTTACGCAAGTATTTGTGCTGCAAATAGTCATAATGGAGGGCAACAGAGTGAGAATAAAATATAGCTCAACTTTTGCTGTCATCCAGCAAGATGCTTTGGATCCACATGTTTTTGTTCCAACCAATCACTGGTTAAATAAGCTGAGCCTGGAATGAAAGCCTGCAGCCACACGGCCATGTATGGAATAGTTTGCACATGCCTGACCTATACTTTGTTTTCATAGTGATCTCAAGATATTAATGTTTTCATTAAAATATATTTAGTGAATGAACATAAAATAGTGATTTGATCAGCTTAGTTATGGCGGAGAGGGTAAGAACTACCATTGCACCACCCTCAAATGTGTCTGAGCAGGTATTTTTCAAAAATGTGTGAACAGGTCCACATGCAACACATACATTGTCAAGCGAAAAAAAACACTTGCACTTTTCCAAGCCTGAGCAAAGGGTGTAATGCAGCTTATATTCATTTCAGATGCTTGTGGCTATGCCAGCTGCTACTGCAGGCCGACCTTACCTTGAACTGCTCGATGTATTTTCTTGCCCTTAGAGATCCACTGTCTCTCTCTCTCTCTCTCTCTCTCTCTCTCTCTCTCTCTCTCTCTCTCTCTCTCTCTCTCTCTCACACACATTCACTTTAATTGCTTTCTATACTCACACACACATGCACTCTAAAGTGTGTCCAGGTCAAGTAGGATGGAAAGGACTGTGAAACATGCTGGAAAGTAATTTGGGAGTTTGGGAGTCCTGCCCGCTTGATGTTGCGATTGTTGCTGCCTGACCTGACTCTACATAACTGATGGTATTGGAGTGTTAGCAGTCTGTGGAGAAGATGTTGTTTAACACAAAGGAAACTGGTTGTAAAAATCTCACGTGGTTTCCTCACTCAATGTGCTGTTGGGGAAATGTGGTATCAGTGTTAGCCTGAGGTTATAGCGTCTGGGGGCTTTATTATCAAGTTCTTCTCACTCCTTCGCTCTCTCTGTCTCTTTCACACACACCCTTAGAATGCTTATTATCACCACTCTTACGTATGCAGTGAGACCGTTGCCTCATGGAGTTCATTTCAGACATGTGCTCACAGCTTGACGTCAGTTCCAGATCCACAAACCCTCGAACAAAAGTTCCCTGCATTTTCCGAATGATGTTCCAACGTGTTCCCCACGCTGCTCCCCACCCCCACCCCATCTTATTCTTTTCCTGTGTGCATGTGTGTTTTTATAGACAAGAGGTCACCAGTAGTCATCTCTTTTCTTTCCCTCCCTCTGGCTGCTCCAGTTATCTACAGCCTATCCAGTTGCTCGCAGACCTGCTGTGGCTCAGTCTTTGTTTGCTTTCCTCTGCATACTTAGTTGCTGATTTGTTGAGGAACATTACTTTTCATTTTGAAGTCTGTGTTGGAGATGAGGTTAGGCAGAGGTTGGCTCTGGAAGACATAAAACAGAGAGAAAACGAAGCAAGGCCAATGCTCGACGGACCCTTGCTAGGATTCTTCAAGTACCACATCGGAGAGATGGGAGTTATTCAAAGACCCATAAAGAGGAAATGGTAACAGAGAGAAACAGAGGGAAGAGGATCGGTGCCTTCTGAGAAGTGAACTAGCTTTCAAGGGAATGAGCAATGTGTGAACTTGTTAACCAGGCCTATTCTCTTTGACCTTAATTTAAACTGAGGATTAGCCATCTCATCAGAGTTCTTGGTGAAAAGCCAATGCTTGTTTTGCCTCGAGCAAACTCAAAAGAAGGATTGGGAAGAAAATCAGCTGCTCATTCCCTCAGAGAAAGCTTTAGCATATTTCCTTTTGGCAAGGAACTTGAAGCGATTAAAAAGCTAATTTATTTGGACTGACTTCAAGAAAAGAAAAACACACCGCATTTACATTTATTGCCGTAATGGATTTGGATCAGTTCTATAGCTCAACCCAGGAGCATGCTGTTTATCTACCTGGATTCAGCTCATCAAAGGCTCCAAGAAGTTATTGATAATCTCCGTCTTCTCAGGCAATGGTGCTTCGTAAGAGAGTTAAGCTGAGCAAGCTAGAACATCATTTGGGCCTCTCACAAGATAACCCAGCTGAAGGGAGATGGAGCAGTAATATAATGTGTGGGACAGAAAGGTCTAATGCCACGCCAGAGGGTGGTACAGGGGAGGTTTCTCTGCTTGGAAGATCCGGTACGTGTTCCGGTTCAGGCATTCTACCCTGGTGGCCTTGTCGACAGTGTGTTTCCATGGCAGCCGGGCTGTTATTAGCTGGGCTGCTGGCACTGACTCAGGCCTGGTGCGTCAACGCCATACATGAGAATCTGCTGTGGTTCTCTCAGCTCACGGTAGGAGTTGTGATACTGTTTTTAATTTGAACCTTTGATTACCCAGCACATTCTAGACAAGCCCTCGCTCTCAGCAGTAGCCTGTGGGGAGAGTTCCAAGGGGATCAGTTGGTAACACAGTGCAATAAAAACTGTCACACCCCTCAGTGGTCCAATCTCAGCTCACTGTGTGAGTGTGTGTGTATGTACATAATTTACATAAAATGCCTAGTGCCATAACTATTATTATTTTATTTATTTATTTATTTATTATTTTAACACGTGGCACATTTGTCATCATTGACATGTCAGTGATAATCAGTGACTCATGATGTTAGTTGTCCAATTGCAGGGTTGGTGGTTCTGTCCCCAGATTCTTCTTGTCCTGTCCACATGTCACAGTGTATTAATGTATTCAAAGAGCATGAGAATATGAGAATATACATGGAGCTATGCTGGGACTTTACTGAGGACACTAAACTTAAAAGGGGCACACTGTCCCACCCTAATTGGTGTAACAAAATCAGAGAGTCAGGGTGACGTCGGCACAGTCTATGCATGCCCTCACCATCCTGGCAAGAAGTCTAATTAAGCAAGTTAAGTACCTCTGTATTTGAATGTCACTAAATGTTGGATTTGTCTTTTTTAATGTAATAGCTTAGGTTATGGAAATCAAATGGAAGACAGTAGGGCTCTTAGTCATTTCGTCGGTCAGTTGTTAAGGTTTTAGTGGACTAAGACATTTTTTGTCCATTTAGTCATTTTTTATGGTCTTTTAATGAGGGATGAACTATTAATCATAAGTCTTTACTGGAAGAAGATCACATAAATGGCATTGTGATAACACTCAGAAATACACTTTAGTTTTTAATAGGCAGATGTTGAGATGCGTAAGAATGACCTCATTCATCTGTGGAGAGACAATAATAGTGGAGAATCAGTTTGACAGACTTTGTTAAATCACTTAACCAATATGTCAACATATACCACTATTGTTTAAGAACTTCTTTTTAGTGAAGCATCTTTAAAAACCATTTACAAACTGAATAGGATAAATAAACGATCGACTTAATATTCTGCAGCTGGTTGTTCGCCGTTCTGTTTTTACCCCCCAGTGGAACTGGCAAGCAGGAAATCTCCTGGGAAGACATCCTCCAGCACACGCCACACACACACACACACACACACACACACACACACACACACACATTGTGGTACCTGTCTTATTGTTGCTGTTGAGGATTACCAGTGTATTAGCTGCTTTGCCTCTATGCTCCATGTTTCTGTCATGTCTTGCCAAGATATCTGTTTTCCATATTATAGGAACAGAAGTGCTTGGTTTCATACAACCAAATTCCCCTTTTTCCTTTCAGGAAGTGGAGCGGGAGATCTCCTTTCGGACAGAGTGTGGACTGTACTACTCCTACTTCAAGCAAATGTTACAGGCCCCATCCATACAGGAAGGTAAACACTTTATTTATGGTGATTCTGCCTTTTGGCCTTTTGCTAAATGTATCGAGTATCAGCCAGTCCTTCTATGTCATCTCTAATATTGAGTTTGAGTCTAATTGACTGTGTGCTAAACCTCTCATCCAAAGTGTAAGGAATGGATTAAAAAGTGTGTTTAATATGAGCTGTGTGCATTAATGAAAGAACTGAAGCAGACGTTTAAGTTACTTTACCTGGTAACTAATTACTTTTATAAGCAGTAATTGTTAAAGTAATTAAATTACTTTTGAAGAAAGTAACCATAAACTGTAACTAATTTCACATTTTCAGTAACTTTCCCAACACTGGTTCTAGATGCTGTCAGTGTTTTAGTTTAACTTTAGCAGCTCTGTCTGTCTCTTTAATAGATTTGGAGAAGTTTACATCCCTGCATCTCGAGTCAGTGTAACCTGAGAAAGCGTTACATTTGCCAAACACATGTACTTGTTCGTCCTCATCCTGAAAGCCCTTTTTTTTAACACTGAAAGTGAAAAAAGTATGTAAGCCAAGCAGCTACACAGGTTAAGATAGAATATAGCAGTCTGATCTTATAATACAAAGACTACCTACAGTAGCTCTACACTGCAACATAAGAACAGTGCTTTTATTTACTCTTCTAAGTAACATGGATCATTAACTAGTGAGGAGACTTTTTGCTTGAGACATGCAGCTTTTGTCTTGCTGTGGTACATTTAAACCCTTTTAACAGGATTCTAATAAAGAGTCAGCCAGAGATGGTGTTTTCAACAAACTGATGGTGGTGGTATCAGGTGTATCAAAATCTACATCACCTACATTTAAAATATGTTGTAATAGAAAAGTAGATGAGAAGAAATCACTTTTTCCCCTACAAGGTAAGCTAGATCAAACCCCAACAGGGAAGAAAAGACACCTGTTGTATGACTCACTTTTGATTCAGACCTCTAGGTGTGAGTCTGAAGAGAAAACTTTCTCTTTGGAGTAAGAGGGTATTTAAATTGTCTGCTTCTCGGAGATGTGACGTTAAGGACAACGGGTGATTGGCCTCTCTGAAATCCACTGCCACAGAGTTATGCCTCGTCCTGGGTCTGGTTAAAGCTTGTGTGCTCTGCTAGCCTGGTTTTAAGTCCTTTTCTACAAATGCTGAACCACATCTTATCATTTAAAAAGAGAGTATACATTGCTTGTGGAACTGTTATTATTGTCAACTGTATATGTGGCAGCCTGTAACAAACAGTGGACAGGCAGTTAGGGTCACAATTGTTCATACCTGGATAGAGACACCAGATGGCTGTCTTTGTCCACCCTTACAAGAGAAAGAAACATTTCCCCCTCCATTTTACAACCAGACCAAACAAATCACTGTGGTTTCTCATGACGCACAGTCTGGTCTAAGGGAAATTAGTCTAATTATTTTGTTCCCATTATCATGTAAAATCCCTAGTTGGAAACAGTCCTAATTTTCCACTAAGGCAAATAATTGAGCTTTAGACTAATCAGTTGAGGAACTGGCTGACCTCCCTTTCTATCTCACTTCTTTTCCTGTCGCAGCAGAAAGGCTTGATACGAAGAAATTACAGTAGTTCAAGTATTAAGGGTAAGGGAGGGAGGATGGAGTTAAAGCATAATGGAAGAAATGAGAAGATTGCCGTGGAAAAGGAAAAAAGTGAGGTGGCAGAAAGGGAGCAAGGATGGAGGGGAAAGATGAAAGGAATAAGGGCAGAAGGGAAGGAAAAATTAGCTAAGATAGGTAAGAGGAATCAAAGTGAGGGAGGAAAGAAGGACAGAGAGAAAAGGGAGATTAAAAATGAATGAATGAACTGGAGTGGATCGTGTACGTGTGGGTGGTAATGTGTACTTCTGTTTATTGAAAACAGCGCTGGTTTTTATGGTCTTACATGGATCAAGTCCACAGCAGAGATCAGGCTGACACATCCCAACCTGCAGCACAAACTTGGCTCTCTGCTTGTGGTTTGGTGTCACACTTTATTTCAGTCAAACTAAATACATAATAATAGTGCTACACCCTGTGTGTGTGTGTGTGTGTGTGTGTGTGTGTGTGTGTGTGTGTGTGTGTGTGTGTGTGTGTGTGTGTGTGTGTGTGTGTGTGTGTGTGTGTGTGTGTGTGTGTGTGTGTGTCACATAATGTCAGTATCAGTCTTTTTGGATGACATGATATTGCTATTGTTTAAGGATAATTGTGGTTTATCACAACTTGGGTCTTATCTTTGTAGTTTTTGCTGTAATAATCCCCTTGAACTGAGTAGTAATTGCTGAGATAGAGGACTACAGTGACACTAAGCTAAATGGAAGTCAGACAGGCCAAAAGGAAGTGTGAACCTATTATGACGTCACCCTTTGAGCACTGTTTTGAAGCCTCGACTTTGGCATTACCTGCGTTCATTGGCTGCGCTTGGTTTCAACACTTTCTCATATTACAGATAAATATTATACTAAAATGAACGGTACTCCAATCAGGATTTTTGAGGCCAGTCCCCGTTCACTAGAAGCAACCCAGTACCGATCACTGGGTCTATTTAAAGCCTTGTGTTTATAGTCTAGCCTTATTTATTTATCATTTACTATTCTAAACAACATTATATATTAAGTATTAAAATTCATGAATTGTTAAATTATGAATTGACAACTGCGTATTTATTGGCAGGCAACATGTTCAACATAACACAGCTTAAACCACAGCCTGTTGTTGGTTATTGGGAGCAGCTTAGAGCGTAAAAGTGTTTCCACAGAATGACAGTGCAACTGTGGAGGTTATGTCTCTATTTCGATTGTGAATGAATAAAACACCATAATATGGTGAATAATTTAAGTAGAATTAAAATGGTGAAAAAAGAAATTAACTAATACTCACGTGCACTTGCTTTTTCCCTCATCTTTCCCCAAACACACACACACACACACACACACACACACACACACTTCTATCTCACACACACCGACCGCTCTGCCTCTCTCTGCCACTCTCCATATGCAGGCTGTATGTGTCTGTGCCGGAACTTTGTTGGTCAGCAGTAAGTTTTATAAAGTCGCCCAAGAAACACAAGTTGATGTTTTGAATTCCATCCACGATTCAGTTTTTCCGTGCACTAAAGAGTAGGCTTGTTAATGATGTTTCCTATTAAAAACAAAACTGTTGCTTTACCTGCTCTGTCCACCAGATAACAGCTCTCTCTCTGTTTCTCTGCAAAATACTAAAACAAGTCCCTGATCGTAAATATACTGGTGGTCCGCCCAAGCAAATCGATGTGTCAATCAATCAGAGTACCCTTACCTAAAATATGGCGCAAAAAGGTTTTAGGTGAAAAATAGACAATGCAGTAATATAATCTTGATTCATATTTGATCAGCACTGCTTATTTTGACAGTTTGAGTTTAATTTTACTAAATACACATTATGCTGTATGCAAAAGACGCAAAAACAGTATGATGATCAAATGATGATCAGATTATTTATAATTTTAGCATTAACCTTATTGTACAATGATGAATTCTGAAATTATAACCACCAGTTGACAATTGACACATCCAGAATGTGGAAACACATTATCATTCATTTGGACTTGTGTTTGTGGCATCCTGGCAAAAAAAGGGAAAATGTCTGACTTTTTAGCTGTTAAATGCTTCATTATGTTCACCACCTTGTTACTAACTTTGTCTGCTGTTTGGTGCCGGGCAAGTGATGCAAAGCCCAGCTGCCTTGCTACAATAATAATAATGATAATTGGGAAATTGTTTAGCAAAGGCAGTATGCCACCCAGATGTTGACACTTTATTTACTGGTTGGTGTATTTAACAGGGACTGTGCAAATTAATAGATGTTCCTGTAAATGTGCCAGAGTTACCTAAGAGCCTATTTTTCATCTGTAGTCCCTGGACGGATGTTACGAAGTCTGAAATAGAATATAATATTTAAATGACAGAGTTATTGAGATTATTTATAAGCATGCAGAAAAAGAACACCGAAGAACATTAATGTTAATAAAAACATAATTCAGGACACCATTAGACTACATTGTCAGGTACTGTTTAATACTTGCAGCACAGAGGCTCTTAATACTAGACATGCAAAACAATGAAATGAGGGGTATTAATAATAATAGGAATATGGACTAAATATGACAGTGTGCTGCATTATTAGACACTAACTGATCAGAAGCACAGACCTAAAAGCACTACAGTATGCTGAATACATAAATCAGTCTGAAACAATAAAAGCTGAACGAGATACGTGCAGGTACATCTCCTCTCATGATCAATCTAGTTAGTATATGACGACCTAAACAACAGCCACACTCAGTGCATGCCATTTGCTCCTCTGCTTTTTCCCTTCAAAGGTTAATGTTTTAATTCATACATTTTTTAAATATTAGTTAATAGGACACTTTTAATATCTGGTAATATAAAACACTGTAGGAGACCTTGACATATTAACATGAATTATTGGTGTTCTGGAGAAAAAGCAGCACAGCAGTAGTTTTTTTAAATCCAGCCAAGGAGGTGATGTTGTGAGGGCTTCCAAGGTTGAATGCACTGATGGGTTCAGACATCCATTGTGCTTTCAGCAATTAAGGAATTCAATTCAAGCAGTACAGTCCATGGTTTTAGTGGCTGACAGAAAATTCAAACACCTTTATTGTTCTTTAATAGCACCATACACTTTATCAGTCTGAAAATGTCACCATTTCTCCACAGTGACACAAAGTGTGTGTTTGTTTGTGTGTGTGTGTTCCCAGGGCTCTCAGATTTGATCCATGACAACTTGACAGAATCCAAGAGGACCATTAATCTCCTACAACGAATGAATATCTACCAAGAGGTCTTTCTCAGTGTTCTCTACAGATTGTTACCCATACAGGTAACACATCACTCAGCTGTCAGCCATTTACAATAGACTTATAAAACACAGAAGATTAGAGTATTGCCACCATCACAAATGATTGACTCTCTCTTTGACTTTTCTTGTCATTTTGTCTCATGAAATAAAGCATTCTTGTGAAAAATTGAATTATTTAAAATAAATCTTTATTTTTCTTTTGTCATTATTATTAACCAAGTTATTCTTAATGTTAGTGATATTAGCAGACTGACAGGCATTTAGGTGCTGTGACGTTCGGCATTTTGGTCTTTTTAGCTGACATGACTTGGCACACTTGCAGTTGTCACACTGGAGGAAAAGGTTTCTGTATTGGAATATCAATTAACTGAGAAACAGCTACTTCCTCAGCGATCTCACTGTGAGACTGACAAGAATGCCAGGAAGTGAAATATCAGACCAAACGTTGAAAATGCCACAGTGTTTCTGAGTGCCCGAGTCAGTCGCTGTCACTGTAGTCAACTCTGTGTGTTCATTTACAACGTCTAATGAACTAATGTGTTGTGTGTGTGTGTGTGTGTGTGTGTGTGTGCGTGTGCGTGTGTGTGTGTGCGTGCGTTGTCCAGTCATATCTGGAGCCAGTGTATTTCTACATTTACACAGTGTTCTCGCTCCAAGCGGTGTATGTGATTGCTCTGTACCTCACAGCATGGCTTCTGTCTGGTTCCTGGCTGGCTGGTGTTCTCACTGGAATCTGGTACATCCTCAACAGGTAGGTAATAACTGTGTGCTCGTGTGTGCGTGAGACAGTGAAAGGGGGAAAGTGCTAGGCCACTTTGACATGTGAAATTGCAATAACATTTATAGACTCAGACGCATGTCTCAGTGTGAGCTTAAGGGTTTATTTCATTATTTTGGATGATATCCAGGTGAATCCTCACTTAAGCTTGACAAACTATACATTTAGTTTGCAACCATAAAGTCTCACATTTCTGTTTGTTTATATTTCACAAAAATCTAAATAGTAAAATAAACATCTCACATTTTTTACCATGTTTGTGCCTCTGTGAATTGGTTCAGTATCACTCATACCCTTTGACCACCGATAACACTGTGACCACCTGGGCACCCTGGTCTTGTTCTGCAGCCCCAGACCAACAGACTGCTCTGCACTGTGTGTTCTGACCCCTTTCTATCAGAACCAGCATTAACTCTTTCAGCAGTTTGAGCTACAGTAGCTGGTCTGTTGGATCGGACCACACGGGCCAGCCTTCACTACCCACCTGCATCAAAGAGCCTTGGCCACTCATGACCCTGTCTCTGGTTCTGGTTCTGGTTTTGATAGGTACTGACCACTGCAGACCGGGAACACCCCACAAGAAAAAATCGTCTAGCCATCACAATGTGGCTCTTGTCAAAGTCACTGAAATCCTCACGCTGCCCATTCTTCCTGCTTCTAACACATCAGTTTAAGGACAAAATGTTCACTTGCTGCCTGATATATCCCACCCACTGACAGGAGCCATGATAACCAGATAATCAGTGTTATTCACGTCACCTCTCAGTGCTCATAATGTTATGGCTGATTGGTGTATATACCTGCTAAAAATAGGTGATTCACTCATTTCCCCTTGCCAGTTGATGAGTTCATATTGGATTTTTTTGATTTTCTGATCTGTTACATTGGACCTTACAAATGCAGTGGAAAGCAGGGTTAGTGAACAGTAGAGAGCAGCATTTGTTACTTGCCTTGGGCTGCAGGCAGTGCCTCTTCCACTCAGCATTTGTTGCATATTGCACAGTGCTGGTAGTCTTACATAGCCAGACCTATCTGCACAGTGCTGTGTCAGCGCTGGAGGAAGTGCCAGTAACCTGTCTCCTTATTTTCTCTTCCCCTCGAATCAGGAGAAGCTCTCTCACCTCGATGTTTGGCAGTGTGAACAAAACCGCCATTGCACGTTGTTCCCATAGACTGTAAAAATCTATACATGATGTAGAACTTCAACATCAGCATCAAGATGGAAAAGGGGTGCAAATTAGTGTGTCCACCCAATGTCCTGTTTCCATCACTGCTGATTGGGGCTGGAGCCGATAAACACTGCTGACTACTGCAGAGTCATTTGACCTAGGATTGAATGCTGATTGTTGCCTTTGCCACTGAAGACAAAAGCCAGATGTAAGTGGGTGTTAGTGTGTCTTTTGTCCAGTGTAATAGGGGCTTTAGACTAATTCTGACCTTTTTGCAAGTAAACTTCAAGGAGATGTTTGTAAAGGGTGTTAAAAAGACCCTGAGTTGTTTTTCTGTTCATCTCCCTCCACTTTTCAAGTTTTTTTAATCCCACTCAAATCTTTATTGGCAAGAGATTGGCAACATTAAAAGTTCTCTGAGTGTTTGACCACTAGTAACGCTATGGAGAAATGTTTTTACATGTGGGTCCCTGTTGAGTTTATTCTTGTGCTCAAGGGTGGCGTGATTCAAATTCCAGCCAATGGTTTCACACTATTTTACGGATCAACCAGTGGTCAACTTGTTAAGGACTTGATCTATTGTACATGTACTAAATCTGTGGTTTGTCGGTAGTGGTCCGACTGAAAATGAGCAAGTTTCATTTCTGGTAGTAAAATCCAAGAAAGGCAGTCTTCCTCGAAATCACTGGCCAAAAAATATTTACAGCATGTAACTTTCTGTAAAACCACAACTTGTCATTTTTGCAGGATTAAATAAATGAGATAACGTTGTGATTAATCCAATTTAGAGATTGTTGAGCGTGTGATTTTGTTATCTTTGGACGCAGCCAGACTTCCCGCTGTTTCCAGTCTTGCAGACATAAGAATGCTGTCAGCCTTCTCATCTAATTCTTGGCAAAAACAAGGGAAAAGCATATTTCCCAAAATGTTTAACTTTTAACAAACTGGGAATCTAGCGGTGAAGAAGACTCTCCTAGTTGTCTTTAGTTGAGTTAGTGGTGTGTGCTCTTTTTGTGTCTGGCGTGTTTCTGAAAATGTGCTGAAAGTTGAAATGAGTTCAGAAACCCTGCTGGCATTTTCTTCGCTGTCCTTTTGGATCAATATAGAGGCGGGATTTCTGTGGTAACCCCTGTAAACAGTAAGATGGAGGGTCACAGAGTGGAGTTTTACAACTTCAGAAAACTTGCACAAAGCTCTGCCCTGATCAAAAAGAAAACAGTTTGAAGCAAACTCACTGAAACCTTGTGTAATTACAATGTATATTTGTTAAGATAAATTACATTGTTAACTTTTCTATCACAATACCTATCAGTGAATGATCTTTATATCTTATTAAACTGATTCCTCTTGTTGTTTTGCCCCTCAACACATACTACAGGAAGATGCAAACAGACAGAGGAAAAGTTACTCAGTGTGTTTCCTATTGTTTAGCCCAAAGTCTGAGTTAAACATTATGATATTATTTTTTAAATCAATTGATTATTGATTTCCATTGTCCACCTATCTCTCTCCATCCCTCCTTCTCTCCTTCCTCTCTTCCCTTTCAGGGTAGATACCACTCGTGTGGAGTTCACCATCTCCCTCAGAGAGAACTGGTCGTTGCCCTTCCTGGCGCTGCAGGTTACGGCTATCACCTGTTACCTCAGGCCACAGCTCACTGTCTTACAGCAGGTACACACACACACACACACACACACACACACACACTCTCTCTCTCTCTCTCTCTCTCTCTCTCTCTCTCTCTCTCTCTCTCTCTCTCTCTCTCTCTCTCTCTCTGCTTTATTGAGATGACGTTATGAATCAAACATGTTGCCAAAGCACACAATACATGTACAATACAATAGTACAAATAAACTCTCTCTCTCTCTCACTCAAACACACACACACACTCTAAATCAAATCTACTGACCGTCCTCAGCACACATTGGTTGAGCTTGACTTTGCACACGCAACACAGCTGCTCAATTGCCAACCGTCTCTAAAAGAGCTAACAGCACAGCAGGAGTGAGTAGTCAATATATGCCATTAGTGTCAGGTCAAGTATCTAATCCTAGTGTGTGTGTGCGCGTGTGTGTTTGTGTGTTTCCCTCCTCAGAAGGTGATGGTGTGGTTGATGTACGTGACGACGTTCTGTTTCTGTCTGACATGGCAGTTCAACCAGTTCATCCTACTTGTTCAGGCTCTTATCATATACACCCTGGACTGTGTCGACTTCCTAACAACTACACAGGTATGGCTTCAAGAAGGACCAGATACTTGAAGGGTCAGTTCCATGGATGGTATTGTAAGAAATGGATTCCAGACTCCAAAGTGGTACCTTTACAGTTGGATGGAAATTGCTCACAGAGTACATAAGCCATGCTTTTCTAGCTTCTGGATGTATTTCCACATTGCATTGGTCCACACATCGCACTAGTGCTTCTCCCTGTGGCCCTACCTGTGTAGCCACTGTCGGTCTGTAGGCTTCTTTAGGATCTGAGAAAGTTATACAAATTAAGATAACTGTCATGGATTAAACATTTGTCATACAAAGAGTAATAACTGACCTTATTTGCAGTTTGAGGTATCCTGTCAACAGTTTTATAGATGCCTTTAATAATGGTGGTCATGGTCAGTTCACCCAAATTACAAAAAAAAGCAGCATTTCCTAACTTAGGCTACCTCTAGTGATATCTAGCCAAGCAGATAGTTTTTATTTTTATTGCTTTGGATTATGCTTTCAATCTGTTCAACCAACTAATTGATCATACTGTAATGGAGGTGGCTTAAACTGGAAGTGGGCAGGACTGATCAGAAGTTGTTCATTTAAACCTGACATGGACATTCGTTTATCAGACGTTTCTATATTTATTCGAAAAATATTTACAGAACAGCCTCAGAATTTAGCACAAGAGAAAGAAAACTTACTTACAGTTAATGACACATTTCACTGTGATGATACTCGTAAGAAGTACATTATCTGTGCCAGATACACATTTCAGCTGAGTAATTGCTCTAATTGTATTCCACTTGAAAGTAGCCTAATAGTTAGCCTACGTTATTAGCATTGCACTGATTCCCACCAGATTTTACTTTTCAGGCATGTTATTTCAACACCCAATCTTTGTTTGTCCCACATTCTACAAAGGAAGGGGTCTAGCTACTCGTCTTCCTTTCATGGGTCCAGCTGTGGTGACTGCAAATTACCAGACTGTCATTACTCATTGCAATAAGTGGCTTTAGTCCTGTAACCTCAGCACCCAGTCACAACTTCTTCTCTCTTGAAAAAACGTATTTTTGCCACTGTTGGCAGGTCTTTGTACACAATAAAGTTGTCATGTGAAATACATGATAGTGGCTGATACCAAACAAGCAATGGCTCATGTTTGCCTTCATTTTAAGGGAATACATACACTTTCAGAACAACATTTCGGGCCTACAGGTAGTGGTGGTCAGTACTCAGGTGTTCAGTGGCATGTTCCTGTACGGGATGACATCATCATACTTCACCTGCCCAAATTGTCTACAGCACTGTTTGTGTGTTTCTCTAGGTGACTACCTTGTACCTTGTTCAAGTAAGCGGTCTGCTGAGTGTGTGGCTCCTCCAGTTCTGTAACTCCATGATACTGGGATCACTCGTCCTGAGCTTCATCGTAGCCGCACTCTTCATCAGACACTGCCAGGTCTGTGTGTGTGTGTGTGTGTGTGTGTGTGTGTGCGCGCAGAGAATAAAAGTGAGAGTTTGAGATGTATAACAGTTAGTATATCAGAGTCTCACAAAAAAGATTCAGACAGTTGTGGTAGCTTGTTTATAAAACACAGATGGAAGATTAACCTGCACTTTGGTTGACGGGAAGAGGCCTGTGCTGCAGTGAGTTTTTGCAGAACATAATTACAATTTGTATGCTGCAGACACATTTTCCTGTCAGGTCTAAATGTAATTTAGTTAAATCAGATCTTATCACAGCAACAATTACAGAAACATTTAATGTGACAGGATGGAAGTGGAATGGAGAGAAAGACGGGGGAAGGTTGAGAATCAGAAATAGGAGAGAGATTTAATTTCTGGCTTTAAATAGTTTGTGCACAGTAACTAAATGCCATCATTGTGAAATATTTCATTTAAAACAGACATGTATAATTCAGGATTTTCACTCCTGTCCCATCTCTCTCTCACAAAAATACTCCTGTCCTGTTCCAATGTCAGGAGAATGATTCCCATCCCGTCCCGTTCCCATGGTGTGTTTTTTTTAGGCATTGTTGACATTTGAATTTTGTAGCTGCACCATGTGTTATGTATACACAATCTGCATAGTCTTACACTGGTCAGGTGGCTGCAACCAGCCACCAAGTGGCTGTTTTCTTCATATTAGAGCTACATATGCATATATATATATATATATATATATATATATATATATATATATATATATATAAAGTGATTGTATATCCTCTCAGGCCAAAATATTAAAAAATCTTATAAGAAAATAGAGGGCAGCATATCAACTCTTCATATACCACAGTTTAGCAATGCAGACAAGCACATTATCACATCAGGGGGAAAATCAGGTAAGCAAACTTTTTTATCTTTCACTGGTTTAAATTAAAAGTGTCTTAGACAGCAATATTATATCATCTGTATCTTATTCATTTTAATGGCCAAAATTAAACTTTTGGCTGCTGTCTGGCCAGTGTGCAAGCTGGTGTCTGTACTCAGCCAAGATCCTTTGTGAGATAAAAGAAGCATCACTCTGCAAAATGACTCTGATATCAAGAGTGGATGGTGGGTTTTTATAATTCTTAAGAGTAGAAAGAAAGCGTTGCACACTCTGGCTCCATATGGATTTCTCTTTTATTCAGATGACAACATTTTAGCCCTCCAGCTTTCTTCAGTATCAGCAATCATGGTGAATCGAATAGTGTTCCCTCTTGGAAAATAAAACCACAAAGTAACCTTTTGGGAGGCTGAGAGGAAGTGACAGGAGGGAACACTATTGGACTGATGGACCTCATGGACATAATATAGAGTGTGACTTGAGGTGTTTTGTGTTTTGCACCTCTATTTATAAGATATTTAGATAAAGCTGTTTATGGTGTTCATCTCTAGCTGATGTTATATATATGAATATATTTAACAAAAAAGAATTGTATGTATAATTTGAATCTCTGTATGTGATATGAGACATGTGCCTGGTCATTAAGTTTGAAGTAATTTGATTGGCTTTATCTCCTGCCACTAATTAAAATTCTGAATTCCTGAAGGGAATTTTCTCACCCTAATGGTGGAGCATGATGATCTAATAACCATAAGATGTGAAACTAGGGTGTGGCCAGTATAACATGCCTTTGTCTTACTATTATTTCTGATCTTGAAGAAGGCAGAAGGGCCAAAACATGATCATCTGAATAAAAGAGAAATGCATATGGAGCCAGAGTGTGCAACCCCTTTTTTCCTACTCTCAAGTCTGCTTCCAGTGAACAGCACCTCACTACAACCCTTGGTGTGTTCCTTTTATATATATTGTTGATCAACAAAAACAACACTGGCAAATGTTCTCTGCTGAAATTGGGGAAAAAAAAGTGACATTGCGTCACCTCAGTCAAGCTTTCCTTAAAAGTAATTATCATCTGAAAGTATTGTGAGTGTGTGTGCAAATGAAGCTATGTGTCAAATTTCTAAATGTAACGGTACATTGAGAATATAACAGATTTCATTGCCTGATCTCTTGTTGTGTGATCATGCAGTCTGGTTTGAAGACAGGAAACCTGCTGGTTCGTCTGGGCAAACTGCTTCTCCACAGCGCCATGGTTCTCCTCCTCACCTTCACCATCAACTACCTGGCCAAGGTGCTCCTCTTCTTCGTCCTTCCCCTTCCACATCCTTCCTTTCTCATGCTCTCCTCCCTGATTATATCTGCTTACCTCCTTTCCTTATCTTCTCCTTCCCCTTTCTGCCAATCCCCTTGTGTGTTCACTCCTCTCCTCCCCTATCTCCATCACCTCACCTTTCCATATCTCCTCGCCTGACTGCTCTGCATTCTTATTTTCTCTTTTTGTTCTCTCATCGCTCTCCCTCCCCTCCTCTCCCTCTGCTCTCCCCTTTCCTGTCTTACTGCTGCTTCACCCACCCTGGTCTTACCCCTGTTTTGCCATACTCTACCACCTCCCTTCACTGATGCCATCCTCTTCTCCTTCTTCTCCTCATGTATCTAAAACTCTTATGTATGATGTAACCATATGATCTCAGAATGCTGATCTTCAGCCTTGACAAGATGACCTTATCTCTCTCTGTGTGTGTGTGTGTGTGTGTGTGTGTGTGTGTGTGTGTGTGTGTGTGTGTGTGTGTGTGTGTGTGTGTGTGTGTGTGTGTGTGTGATTGTGTGTGATTGTGTGTGATTGTGTGTGATTGTGATTGTGTGTGTGTGATTGTGATTGTGTGTGTGTGATTGTGTGTTTACAGAAAGCACTTCAGCTCAGATCAGACGAACACATCTTTAAATTCATCAAGTCAAAGTTTGCCCTGGGGCCGACGAGGTATGACCACACATATATGTACACACTCAAACATAGATTTACATGCTTCTGTTGTTGAACACGGTCTCACACCACCAAACCAGATTTCGACACATGGGCGTGCTCGCACACAATAGTGCATACACAAAGTCTGCGCAGTCCGTACCTGTACTCACCTCTTGATTTGATCCAGCGTGACTGTGTTATTCACTAAGCACCAGTATTGTAGCACCTGGAGCGTTAGTGTGTGTGAATAATAGATGGCGGGGTTACACCAGCAGGCCTCCCATCGATCAGGTACTTTGTGTGTGTTGAGTGGCTCAGCCACTGGATAGCTGCTCCGGGGTGGCAGATAACACGGCTCACAAGCCAACGCCACACAACTGGCCCTTCAATTATTCAGGAGGCTGTGGAAAATGCAGTGCTTACTCTACACTCTATCTCTGCCTCTGCCCTTGTTCCCGTGTCTCTAACTCGCTAAGATTTCTTCTCTCCAAGTGTTCCTTATTTTTATCCCTTAAGTTTTGTTCTGTGTTTTGTGATAACTCAATTCTCAGTTCAATTACTTATCGGCACGGCTGTTTATCAGAAGCACTATTGCCATTGTAATGCGCAAAACGAAAAAACAAAACATGTTTATTGTGTGCGCTCATGCCGTGTTGAGAAAATACATTCAGTTCATTTTTAAAACATTTTCTATTAAGATAAATACAAATATATATAACTAATAATGTACAAAATGTTCACGTATAAATATGGATTTTTGCAGCTTTCTTTGGTTCATGAAGTTGTTCTTCTTTATACCTGGATAACTAACCTGTCTCGCTTTTAAGGTGGATAATTTAGAAGTCTGCTTAAAAATGATCTTGAGCTGTTGTTGTTAGAACAACAAATCCTCAAACCGGCATTTAGCAGGATCATGACTAAGACCTCTTAATGTTAACCCCATATTTATACACTACCAATTGTAAGTAACAAGGTGCATTTACTCATGTACTCAACTTAAATACATTTTTGTTGTACTTTGGATGGATTTGTTTTCCATATTATTTCTTACTTATACCCTACTACATCTAACAGGCAATTATTGCACTATTTACTCCACTACATTTATGTGACAGATGTACTCACTAGTTACTATATCTCGGTACTGAAAAAAACACGATAAGCCTCTAAAATACAACACACGGCTCCATGTAGAGAACAAACATGAAGTTTACTTGGACAAGGCTTGATTCACTATGAATCTCTTGCCCCTGTTCCTATACTCTGTATTTACTCATAATAAATAATTGTTTAACAGTTGTGCTTGAACCCAATAACACTAGTGACATTTCAGGAACACAAATGAAATCATTATCCATTTGTCTGTTCCCCTAGTTTATGTTAAGAGCTTCCTTAAATACCTATATATAATATGTGCAAATGCCATATTGCATATCCTATTAGCGCTGATCTCAACTCCTGTGGCCTTTCATTATCGTTATAGTTATTATAGTATTATATTTCAGTATAAGTACAATTAGTTAATTAAACTAACTTCATGTAGGATTAACAAATCAATTCTCAAACTGCGTTCAAATGACCAAATTAGTTGGATGAGGATTAACTTAACTTTATTATTTTAGCCTAAAATCAACATGTTTGTATGGATTAGATAAGTCAGATTTGAAGTTCTGGGTAGTTAACATAGTTGCAATCCACAGTAACCTAAGCTTTATCAACAGAAAATCCAAAAGATGGTCCTTGACATATTAATTGATTACATCGCTACCGCAATGAGTGTTAAGCACCAAAGACAAAACGAGACAAAAACCCCAAAATTTGATTTCATTAAAAGTTTCAGCTGCTAACCAGTAGGTCATTTGCCTCCTCCCTGTGTCATCTTCATTTATTTTATGTCCATCTTTTCCTTTCTCTTGTTTTATTTCCCCCCCTTCACCTTCCCCCCTGCAGGGATTTTGATGCCAGTCTGTATCTGTGTGAGGAGGCCTTTGGCCTGCTGCCCCTAGACACACTGGAGCGCCTGGCTGGTACCCTGCTGCTATACCCCTACATCCTCACACTGCCACTGCTCAGTGGCACGTTGGCAGTGGCCGCACTGCAGAACGTGAGGTAGGTGATGTCTCGTCAGAAAATGAGTGAGGGAACGTGGGAAGGGAAGACATTCCTGCTGTCACATGGTCAGTTATGTCGCTGACTATTTCATATAAGTGTCTGTCTGTCATGTATCTTGGACAATGTTGACCGATAGTAACAGCTAACCAGGAAGATTATTAAGCTTCAGTAGGTCTGCACTCTATTGCTGGCTTGCTAGTTGTCAGTGTTAGTGTACAGAAATGAGCTACAATTGGAGATATTTTAAAAAACAGACTACTTGTATATAAATGGGAGCGTTTTATTTTTTTAAGGGGTGTTGTCAAGAAAAAAAAAAACAGAGATCAAACAGTTTGTGCAACTCCCAGAAATCACATAATGCAGATTTAACACATTCTAGGGTTGAAATTATTATGTAAATACTATTTCCCTAATCCAGTGAAGGTGAATTTTAGCTAGACTTCTGAGCACTTTTTGCCATCTACAATCTTCATTATAAACAGCGCTGAAAATTAGAATGTTAATTAAAAAAAATTAAATAACAGAATTCCTCATGTTCTTAACAAGTATTTAGTCTCTATTTGTAACCGTTTGACAACAAAATGATAACTCAGGTTAGCACCTTGTGTCAGCCAGCATTTAGTATTTAATCCTCAAATTTGGCAGAGTTGAACAAGTACGTGTCCTTATTAGGGCAAGTTGGTCAAAGGAGGTATTGAAGTGTAAATGAATGGAGAGTTTCAGCCCTTGCAGAGAGTAAATGGAGTGCCAGCTTAAAAGAGGACATCAGGATGGCTATCAGGAGGCAGAAACTCAGTCACAATGCTAGTCACTGTTCCTATGCCTCCGGCCCACACAACTGCAGGTTTATTAATGGCATTGTTGCTTCATGCTCTGTAAAACAGAATATTCTACCAGCTGCCTCTCAAAGCTTCATTTGCCTGTGGTGCAAGGTGAGGGGCCGCAGTGAACTAATCACATTAGCATATCAACTTGCCCTCTGCTGTTGGAGGGCTGGAATACTAACCTCATAGAACAAAGGGCTATTTGCCAGTTCAGGAATTGATTTAATCCAGTTTACCCCACCTCACGTAGAAGGAAGAGCCAGATTGGATTTGTATTCAAATGGAAGCCAGCGTCCATCTCGTTCGGTGCGGGAGGCAAAAATCGTGGGAGTGACATCATTGCCCTCGGGCCTCTCTCTGTTTCTCTGTGTGCTGACTCCTGCAGACAGAAACGGTCGTGGGTGTGCATCACTGCGTGTCCGCTTGCTCGCAAACAGCTAATGAAATCTGAATAACAGCTACTGAAATCTGAATAATCTGAATAATATCAATTCCACCCACCAACCCTTCTGCCTCTCTTCTCAAGCGTCTGGCTGTAATGTTTTATGTATCACTGTTGTCTTTTGTCTTGTGCCTTTTTTTGTTTCTCGGCAGACCTAAAGGAAGTTCAGCTGAGGAGAGGAAAGGAGCTGGAGAGGTGCGAGTGGTGGCTTTTCGCCCAGACGTGGCCTATAATCTGTTGCATACACTGTTCTTTGGCCTCCTTGCTTTCAGCACTATGAGGTGAGCTCATGCACACGCACATGTAATTGAGGGATCATGTACACGCAGATACCTGGATTCACACAGATTCCCACGTAGCTCCATTGGTTGAATTCTCAGGAAGGGACTCTTCAGATGTACTTTTCCTCTTGATGGCTTGATTGTGTGTGCTTGTGAGCAGATGCTGGAATCCAAGTGCCTCTCAAATGCTTTTCCCCAGGTGTCTGAGTGGTCCACTTTAGCCCTGATCAGCCCTCAACACCAAGTACCATCCCACAATGCCTTAGTCTTTCAAACCGTGACACCACTCACAACAGGAACAGAAGGAATGGTCATAGTTGGACAACAGATAATTAATACTCTGAACTACACTGTATTGCTGACACCCAAAAATTTCAATCCTTTACTGTACTGACTGTGTGCACCAATGCTCTTGTTTGTGCCACACAAGACAACACCAGCAAACAACTGACCAATTTCTAAGCCCTGGCCCCCTTGGTTACTGTTGCTTCATCTGTCAAAATTGGACATATACACGATCAGCCATAACATTGTGACCACCTGTGCAGCCCCAGACCAACAGACTGCTCTGCACTGTGTGTTCTGACCCCTTTCTATCAGAACCAGCATTAACTCTTTCAGCAGTTTGAGCTACAGTAGCTGGTCTGTTGGATCGGACCACACGGGCCAGCCTTCACTCCCCATGTGCATCAATGAGCCTTGGCCACCCATGAGCCTGTCTCCGGTTCTGGTTACGGTTTTGATAGGTACTGACCACTGCAGACCGGGAACACCCCACAAGAGCTGCAGTTCTGGAGATGCTGACCCAGTCGTCTAGCCATCACAATGTGGCTCTTGTCAAAAGTCACTCAAATCCTCACGCTGCTCATTCTTCCTGCTTCTAACACATCAGCTCTAGGACAAAATGTTCACTTGCTGCCTGATATATCCCACCCACTGACAGGAGCCATGATAACCATATAATCAGTGTTATTCACTTCACCTGTCAGTCGTCATAATAACAGATTTGATCATTTGTAGCTAGCTAGTTAAAAAACATTAGCTTCCTTAGTTGGTTGAAACGATGGTCTCTGACTGACTGTGTTAAAATCACAAACTTGTTTTTGTTGTTTGTTGGTTTTGGAAAGACTATAAAATGACACCACCCTCTAAATGCTTTTAGAGTGTCACTTACTACAGCCACATGCACACTGCTTGTCCATGTGGAGAAATCCAAAGCCTGACTGACCTGCTGTGCCTAGTTACAGTTACTCGACTATGATTAGACAATCACTGTTTGGGGTATGGGTTTAACAAGCGTTCATTTGTTGTCACATAACTTCTGTTCATTCTTTATAACACCATTTCTTTGGGTTTTATTAGATTATTATTTATTATTATTAGATATTGCAAAAGAAAGCACCGTTAAGATCCCTATAGGCCAGTTCCAATGACAATTGGGAAGTCTGAAAAAACCTATTTTTGAGTCAGTGGGAATTGTAGGCACCAAAAGCAAAGTAGTTATCCATTGATCCAGAGGCTGTTTTTTGGCAAAGTCACTGCGTGTCTCAGCAAGGCATGCTACTCTATGGATTGTGTCCAAAGGTTTTAACCCACAGCAGATCTCTTTATCCGAAGAGATCCAGGATAATGTCTGTGTTCCAGGGATATAAGAAGCATGTTGTTTGGACATGTTGTGCCTTTCTACTGTCAAAAGCTATAGAGGTAAAAGGAAAAACACTCTTTCTTACTTTTTCTCCATTAGTTTATTTTGACAGTTGAATTTTAAAACTTAAGAACAATAGTATTTACATTACAGAAAAAAAACAAAACAATGCATGGTGCTGTCAGTCTACTGTAAGATATTTGATTTTGTGTATCACTCCTTTACAATTAGCCCCATTAGCCTTCTATACCATATTCTTCTACCATTTTATGTTTCTTCTCTCTCTTTGGTGTCCTGCTGGCACACATAAACACTGGCCTATTTCTCTGGTTGACCTAACTACATCACCCATTGGCAGGTTCCCCCTGTGGAACAACACTACCTCTGAGGCTCCATCTATTAGATTCTAGAGCTGTGGGTTGAGAGCCCAGACACCCATGCTGGCACCCAGGCTTTACCATTGAACAGAAACAACTTTCTTGTGGTCAACTTTCATATCCAGACACTTTTTCTTAATTTTAGTAATGTTTTGGCTCTCTTAGCTGCCAGCGTTTACTGCTGCTGTGACACGATAGCCCTTGACAAATTTGTTCTCATTGGTCACACCAGAACTATAACCAGCAAACAATATCTGCTGTCTGGCTTCAACCTCCACAACAGCTCAATTCTCCATGCATTGCAGGCTCTCCTTTTTGATGTACAATCCATATTCTTTTGCAAAGTTGTTTTTGTCTTGTTTCAGTGTCAAGCATTTGTATGTGTTTAGAGTAACTTAACATGAACTGAAACTGAATATCATGTTTTTGTTGACCTCCAATGCTTGACCTTCAACCCTTGCTATAGCAAAATAGAGGTGTACTCGAGGACCCGACAGCATTGTTGGATGTGGTTACAGGTGCCTTGAAAGTCTTGAAACTTCCACAGAGAGGGCAGCAAATGTTAAATGTGATTAATATCATAGTATTCCATCAGTCATTTATGGTTCAGGGACTGTGATGATGGACTATGATGTTGCTCAATGAATCAATTACAATCAGTCAATAGCCAAAATATGCTAACAGATTCTATTTTAACAAGACAGAAGACAACCTCACAAATATTCAAAATATTTAAAGGATATTATCAGTTGTAAATAGAACAATACGTACGTACATGGCTGGTTTTATAGGAGGTGTTTATCATGACAAACCTTATTAATCCCACGTGACCTCTCAGCAAAGTAGAATCTTGCTTTTATCTTTTTATGTATTGAGTATATGACATTAGCACAGATTACTGCGGTGGTTAGCACTGTCACCTCACAGCAAGAAGGTCCTGGGTTCAATTCCCTGCTGGGGACAAGCAGTTTCAACTATTCCTGTACTACTACTAATACTAATACAACTGAGAGTTGTGGAATTTTGTAGTAATCAATGAATACTTTTAGACTTTATCTAATGTTTAGATGGACAATTCAAGTTGTATCACCTGAATGTTTTCAGTTTCGGGCTTCACAAACCCAGACCTACACAATGTCGATAGTTGGTTCACGACAAACGTACCATACGAAGTGGTATACAGTATTGCATTTGCATATTGCCTTATTTTAATGGCTCTGTAGTGTCACACAACTTGACTAATATACCACGTACCTTGCGTTTTTCCCCATTTCTCATCTATAATCTTAAGCACACCAGCCCTCCCAGACCCAACTTTCATCTGTAATTGTCAAGTGGTGTTCGTTGCTAGCATCATCAGTAGATTTTGCGGGATGAGCGCATTTCAAGCTGCAAACACAGGCTGCCATGCCTGACATCCGTGATTCATTATTGTGAAAGTATAATTGCCTTTAACTTTGGGCTCTTTGTGAGGACTGTCAAGAGAATTGCAGAGTTTACAATTGGAATCATCACTTCTTTTCCCTGTATTAAAAGAAACCTGCAATTACTCAGTCAAAAAGAAAAGGGGAATATTCTTGTATCTGGTTTATTCATAGGAACATGGAGATGCCGGTTTTCAGAGGTTCACATTAGTAGCTTAATTTGAATAAGATTTTGAGTGCAGTAGAGCCAGTAGCTAGGTTACCCTGTGCATGTAAATGTTGCACATTGTGTTCTTAAAGTAAGAGTATATCTGATGGGCAGGATTTGGAATGGAATGCGATATATGATACATTTAATATGTATAGTTCCTACAATGCATCCCTGTTACAGCCAGGAATTAAAGTATTGATTGAATTCACACAAAAGCAGAAGAATCTGAAAGCTTTTAACACAGCAGCAGCCAGGTAGTGCAGAAACTGACACATTTGATTTCAGCACTTTCTCTAAAATGCTGATGAAGAGCGAGAGGCCAAAAGTGCAGAGAGCCATTCGTTTCTGTCAGACAGCTCCTTTGCATTAAAAACGTATTGAGATTTATTTCTGTGAGGCTGCCTCCCTCTCCCCCCCCTCTCTCTCTCTCTCTCTCTCTCTCTCTCTGGCTCTCTCTCTCTCTGGCTCCATCTCTGTACCTGTCAACAATTTTTCAGCTCATTTCATTCTCTTGCTCTTCTCCCTGCTGTTCATTCTTCCTCAGTTTTAATCTTTTTCTCATTTGCTTAGAACTGTAACACATGTGCTTTGGATCAGAACGTAGATACAAATGCAATGTTTTAGACCCTTAATTAAGTTTAACTACATTGGAACCATTTCACTAAGTCATCTGCTAAACTAAAGATGATTTGGTTGTCTTGTTAGACATAATGTGCTTTACTAGCTTGAGGGAGCATTGGGGTAGAGTCGTAACACCTCTTGATATTGCCTCTGTCTCCCACTCTACCCAGGATGAAGTATATATGGACTGGCCATATGTGTGCGGTCGCAGCCTATGGTGTGTGTGGGACGGAGTTGTGGACTCTGCTTCTCAACGCGCTCCGCTGCAACACTAAAGTTCTGGTATGAGCTCACAACAGCTGCTTCCGGCGCCACACATCTGCTACACTGATAGAAAGCTATGTCGACTATATAGACTGATGGTTGCTTTGTTCCTGACATTAACTTTTAAAGCTGCTGCAATCTATTGTTTGTATTAATAATGGTTTTGGATATTGTTGCCCATAAACACAACTCCAGTGCCAATGCCAAAGCTGCACAGTGTCTACTATATACCGATCAACATTATGACCACCTGGGCACCCTGGTTCTGTTCTGCAGCCCCAGACCAACAGACTGCTCTGCACTGTGTGTTCTGACCCCTTTCTATCAGAACCAGCATTAACTCTTTCAGCAGTTTGAGCTACAGTAGCTGGTCTGTTGGATCGGACCACACGGGCCAGCCTTCACTCCCCACCTGCATCAATGAGCCTTGGCCCCCCATGACCCTGTCTCCGGTTCTTCTCCTTCCTTGGACCACTTTTGATAGGTACTGACCACTGCAGACCAGGAACACCCCACAAGAGCTGCAGTTCTGGAGATGCGGACCCAGTCGTCTAGCCATCACAATGTGGCCCTTGTCAAAAGTCACTCAAATCCTCACGCTGCTCATTCTTCCTGCTTCTAACACATCAGCTTGAGGACAAAATGTTCACTTGCTGCCTGATATATCCCACCCACTGACAGGAGCCATGATAACCATATAATCAGTGTTATTCACGTCACCAGTCAGTGATCATAATGTTGTGGCTGGTGTATGTGCAAATAGGCAACTGTTTGCAAACACATTTGGTCCATTAAATTTAATAGGTGACATTTTCAGCCTGTTCTGTTGCCCCCAGATGGCCAAAAAATGGTTATTACAGCTTTGAAAATATTGCTTTTAAGTTGTTTTTAGTTGTACTGATCCCGTGGAAGAATCTGCAACTGAAAAGCATTCAATGATAACTAGGGCTGAGTATTATCTTATAGGTTTCAGGACAAACACAATGTCTGCTTTTGAGTATCAATACTTTCTAGTATTATAGAAGCATGTTATGCTATAAACCCTACTTTCATTTGACAAAATATGCTAAATACCATAATGCATTAGTATCTATATAACAGGAGGAACCTTACTAACGTTTCCTAAATAAAATGCAGTGCCAAATAAGTTATTATTCAAATCTAACTTTTTACAGTTGACAGTTTTTCATAGTCAGTACTGACATTTTGGTCAGTATATAAATATTGAGGTTCTAGTCACAATCAACATTATGTCCATCACCAGTCTCCAATGAGCATGACATTGATCTCTAACATCATAAGACACTCTTGGAAGCTGTCTTATTTTCCCCTTCTCTAGAATTTAATTCTGGTTTGTCATGGAGGTAAACCATGAATGCTGCAGAGTGTCCGCTTGCATTTGAATCCACAGCCCTCCACTGTGGACTGGTGATATCATTGCCACTCAGGCCACTAGGTGTCAGTGTGGTCATAACATGACAAGAAGATGGATCAGATAAGAAATGATACTTGTAAGCAGTGCTGCTCTGTCTGTCGGTTATCTCTGTGTTATCTCATTCTGTGCTTGTCTTCATTTTTAGGTATATCTCTGTCTGACTCTCACTGTCTCTGCCTCTGATACGATTATATTCTTCCATTTTATTATAACTGTTTTCTCTCTCATTTTGCAGTTAAGGCTTGTCAGATATGCAGTTCCACTGGTGATGATTGGTTGCCTGTATTACAAGGTATGCCATTTTCTTGGTGGTTTATGTTCATCACTGCATCGACGGTCTCATTACAGAGCCGAGCCAGTTTGTAAAAACTGTGCAACGATATGAGTAAAGGAAAATGCCTCAAATGGAAGTTGTGGAAGAAAATGATAACAAGCAATTGGATCATAACAGGATACTAAAATGATTGCTTCCCTTTTATTTATTTTGCCGTTAGAAGAGTCTAAATGGCTGTCACATATACTGTTATATTCAGTGCTGTAATGAGATGTTATTTAAGATATATCAGTAGGTTTGATACTCTGTTTCACAGCCTTAATGAACACTAACACATGGTTTTCCATCACTTGTCTCTGTTTCCCTCTAGTTCTGGCCTAAACTAATGGAGGAGTTATCAGAACTGAGGGAGTTTTATGATCCAGACACTGTGGAGCTCATGACCTGGATTAGGTACACGCAAACACCCACGCTCACTAATCCAGAGCACACATCAAATTGAAGCAAATCTGATTAGCTTGTTTCCGCAGATCAAGTTTTTCTTTGCCTGATGTCCTTGATTAGTCTGCGTGTATACGTGCGTGTGTGTGTGTGTATACTTGTGTATCGGCACTTGTTTGCCGGGGAGTCTGGCCCGATGAGTGATGAGAGCCGATGGGTCCCCATGAATAAGGCTTTGGGGGTGCTGGAAAACACCCAGCTGTTGGCAGAACTCTAACCCACCTGAGGGGTCTCTGGGCTTTTGATCAAGAGCATCACCATGATGGGATCAGAGATGGAGCTGTGATTTGGAATGGCTCCGCACTGTGTGTGTGTGTGTGTGTGTGTGTCTGTCTGTGTGTGTGTCTGTGTGTGTGTGTGTGTGTCTTGTGTGTGTGTCTGTGTGTGTGTGTTTGCAAATCTGTGTGTGTGTCATTTTCTGGTCTTCAGGTTGGATGTGGGGCCTCCTGTTGGCTTAGCAGTCTATATAGCATACCATGTCACTATGCGTCCACATTGTTTGGCACATCGCATTACACCACCATTACCAGCCTCCCATTTTTCTTGTTACTTTTGACCCCTTTTGACTTCATTGAGTCAAGCAGAGTGATTTTGAAATTATTAATAAATGGTGAAACACCTATTCACCAATACTGCTCAGCATTGGTGAATAGGTGTTTCTTTTTTCACATGGGAATATAATTAAACAGCAACACAGCTGAACACCGGTGAACATTAAGATAGGGTTGCAAGATAGAGAGAACTAAAACTGAAAACTAGCTTCATTATTACAATGTTTCCAATTTTTTTGTTTTGTTCAAATGTCAATTTATGCACCAGTTCTCAAGGAGCCCATTCAAGTCCAACAACAAAGCGTTTCACTTTTGTGACCAGAAGAATTCACAATAGCAATATTATCGCAATATCTATAGAAAAAAAAGCTATCAGTCAGATTCATCTTTAACTTTTGTTTCTTTTTTAGCAAATTTACACTCAACTGTAACGCTGGCAACAAGTGTTAAGGTGCATTACTGCCACCTATGCTGTTGGAGTGTGAACCACAGAGCAGGAAGGGAAAGTAACGGAAGGATTTAAGAGGTACTGGATTATTTACATGATATTATTTTTAGTATATTGTTAACACAATATCAATATTTCCTTTTTAAATATCCCAATAATCGTCAGTATCGGTTTAATGCAACACCCCTACTGTGAAGAGACGGTAGTTTATTTGTTAATTTATATTTAATATTTTGCTACATATTATAATAACATATATATATTCTCATCTGCATACTTGAATAAAGAAAAAAATATATAATGTGTTTGTTTTATGTACTGTAAAGGGGTTCTATGTAACTCTTAGTTAAGCAGTAAGGTATGGCAGCTGCATTCTCTGTAAACAAAGCCTGTTGAATGTGCTTTAAGTATAGCACATCAAACATGCGTGTATGAAAGGCCTATTAGAAGGCCCTTAGAGTAACTGGGCTTTATTAATTATTGAAGGGAGATTCACATATTATTTTGGAATTCAATGAGCATGTATTAAATGTTTTTGTTACTTGCACATTTTCATCAGTATGCAGTTCGCTGTGTGTGCATGTGCTGTACTTGAGAACAACCTGCTGGAGGGTTTTCAACAGCTGATACAAATGGTTGGTAACATTGCTTATTGCTATTTTGCACTAAAGTGTATATCTTAGTGGATTTTCTTTTTTACCCCAAAACTTTTAGTGTAATTGTTTTCTTCATGTTGTTAAATCTTAAATACATGGCCATAACACTCCACTGGAAGAAACCGCTAATTAATAAGCATTAAAGTACAGAATTACTACCAGTTTAGATTAAGGTCTTTCCCACAGATAATCACTGTAGTTCACTTCTATTCTGAATAAGTCATAATTCAAAGCTCATTATTTCCATCCTATCATCATCAGCATGATGACACTAAGTGGACTAGATGGGATTTTTAAGAAATGGCCAATTTTGGTCTAATCCTATTAGACAGATAGTGGAATGGCTCAGAGAGAGGGAGAGAGAGATGGATAGTGAGACAGAGGAGGAGAGGTTGGGATTTTGAATGTATTTGTGTGTGTGTGACACGGGTTCCCTTCCCTCCGGAGCTAATCCCATTAGGCTCTGAGGATTAGGGGCTGCCTAGAGTTACCTTGGTTTGGGCTGAGAGCGGGGCGGAGCACTAAGCCTCTTGCTGCTGCGCTAATTACATTCCAGATGAAAGTGTTAAGATGGGGAAGAGGGTTCATCTTACGCTGTATTCTCTAGTTGACTGAGGCCGAGGATATTTAGTTTTTTATATGGAAAGATCACTGGGGGATTCTCAAACTGTGGCATAATGAGGGGCAGAACAGAGGTAGATACATGCCAGACCGGCTAGTGTGTTTATGTAAAGCTGTCAGGGAGCCATTGTGGTCATTCTAGCTGCAGGGGATGTGCTTCATGTGTGAATCATGTACCAGTGATATGTTCCATCAAATGCTCAGAAAAGGGTTTAATGGTAAATGGACCTGTACTTTTATACCGCCTTTCTAGTCTTCCGACCAAACGCTTTTACACTACGTGCCACATTCACCCTTTCACACACATTCACTCAGTGATGGTAAAGCCCATCAAACAGAAACTAACTCATTCATACACATTCACACACCAATGCACGGCATTGTTGAAATCAGAAGAAAAAAAAAATGTTGGTCTTTTTTGTGCTTCTGTTGTTAGAAGGCTAGAATGTCATTAACATGGATAGAAAATTCAGGTTTGAAGAACTAAGGTGTAGGTTAACGTGATAAAAACTGGCAGATGTTTATCTGTACTACAACCATGATTCACAAGTTTCCAGTTGGTAACAGCAGCAGCTCAGCTGTAGGCTGATACTGTTTAAATGGACAGTCAACAAATCAATAGCAATGCCTGGTCGTTGCACTGCCTCCAACTCTGAGTTATAGTTGTGAGTGTGCCGTTTTTAAAGTCACCAATATCGCTCCTGTCTAACCCATGTGCTCTTCGTCTCCGCTTCTTCCTCAATCTGTATCTTCGCCCTTTTTGAAATTCAGATTTTGCATGCTTGTGCTGCAAAAGCAGTGTGGTGTCAGTCAATGAAGACTGATTTAAAAAAAAATGAAGAAATGAATAAAGAAGTGATGATTAGCAATAGCTTCACTGCCCTGCTCTCTGACATATGAACTCAATGTTGGGCGTGAAGAGTTGGAGGCAGCGCAAGTGTTACATGTGCAGCATAGAGAGGAGCAGCTTAAGCTCAGGCACATGGTTCATATAAACTGTCGCCTCTCAGACTATCAGAGCTCACAGATAACCACAGTTCAGTACCGTCACTGCACTGCACACTGCTGCGCACTGCAGGCTGTGGCTGGAACAGGGAACAAAGCTCAAATGTCACATTTCACAGTACAAATGAGAGTCAGAAGGAGTGAGTATTGCATCTTAAACGTCACAGTTGAAATGTTACAATTGAAAAGTATTTGTTAGGTTTGTATGATGCTCTTAGAAATACATCATGCACAGTATAATTTCTTCTTGTTCTTCGTTGGCACAGAAAATTGGACTCCATATGAGCCAAAAATATAGAATCAATCAATCCCTCCTCTGTTTTCTCCAAACAAACAGCACTCATCATACATATTTCACCAAACATAGAGGTCATCTGATAATGCCAGTCTCGCTCGAATCTGCCTCTCAGTAGTCAGAGCTAATAGTTATTGTTTTGAAAGATTACTTGTTTTTTTCCTATCCTCCTGCTCCCCCCTCCTCCTCTTCTGGGTCGAGATATACAGTCTGTGGTCGAGAATTATGAAGGCTGCAGTGAAAATTATTAATGAGAGCTTTGACAGCAGTTTTGCTGCAAATTCAGGAGGCTCATCTAGCTACTCAGCATGGAGACCCATTCAGAGAAGGAATGTGCCCAAATGAAAAAGTCAGCATATTTGACTTTGTTTATCCCACAAGTCCTCACTCTGACACAAGAAAATAGGTTGTTTGTCAGTGCCTTCTAAAGGACCACTGTGACCATTCCAAAAATGAATAGTATGAACATGTCCTGCCACTTCTATGGTGGTATTCAGTTGGTTGAAATTTGCAAAATTCACCAATAGATTATTTCTACAGACTGGTTCTTATAGTTTATTTTACTCTATTTATCTTTCCGAAGGACTTTTTTCAACTCCTTAGTTTTCCATGGTGATGGGAACTGTTAAAACAAGCCTCTGTGAAACCTGTACACAGGGTCTGTGGAAATTCCATTGATTCAACATAGTATTGGACTGGAGGCATAGACCTCAGAAAATAAAAGAAATAATCAGTATCTAACTCCAGCTTGTCATACACATTGTTTATTTTAAGTGGCCAATGCTGTTTTTCTGATATTGGCAGTTTCCATTGTTCATCCTGTCTGGCTAAAGGTTAAGCTCCTAACTCACATGAGGTCCCCAGATCATTCTAGTCCAGTGCAAATAGGGCTCATCACTCTCTCCCTCTCAGTCTTGTTTTGTAGATCTGTCTCATTGTGTCCATCTGTCTATGTAATTAAAACAAATTACCTTGTCCATTCTTAGGACACAAGTGCCACTATTCATCAATCTGTCCCTCAGTAAAAAAATATTTTTCGGCTCCCTCTGTGTAAGTGTATCCTCGCCGTTTTGTTGTTGTTTTTTTTACATCATCTGCTTGCGCTTTCTCTGACTCTCTCCCTTACTCCCTTAATTGTCTTCCTGTCATCCAGCTCCTTGTCGCCTTTTAAATTGTCTAAATTAGCAGCATTTGGCCTCATCCTTAAATGGGGGAAAGTGCAGCTCCGTGTGTGTGATCTGTGTGTGTGTTAGTGGCTGTCTCTGAGTTCTAACTCATCCAGAGGCAGTTCGACTTCTCAATCAGAAGACTTCCGTTGGAGATCTATGGCCTGGCACGTTCATAAGAAACCTCCCGATCACTTTCTCAGTCTCACTATTAGTCATCATCATTTCCACTCAGTAGCACTTAACTCATGGTGTTTGGTAACCTCACATAATTCCCAGAGTACAATGGAGAGTATGCATTGATGTCACATTTTACCAGAGACCATAGCCTCATCACAGCTAAAAATAGATAGTAGCTAGATAGTGTTAGACTGATCAAAATCACGTGGATGTCAATGGATACTTCGATTGTCTGAGGACATGTTTAAAAAAATATTTTGCTTGTATTACATTTTTCATTTAGAATAATTTATATTGTTTCTCTTCTCTTCTCTTTAGTCTTCAACAGTCTGTAAAACTGAATTCAGAAAGAATTCAGGCTTGCCTTAGCCATAGTCTATTCAATAAGAAGAGATCTAGGCAGACAACATAAATAAAACACCTGTGTGGGGGTGGACCATGGCAGGGCTTTAAGTTAAATGTGAATTAGTTGTGTGTCTGTGTCAAAACAAGTTGTGAGGAGAGCATAGAGTTGTTTGAGTCCTTTTGTGAATGCAGGTGATAGGTTAATCTGTTCTGAAGGAAAATACTGGCATGACTCTTTAAAGAGCCTTTGCAGTTGTTATCGCAAATATCCATAGCAACATGAGAGTGTAGGCAGTCACTTGTGTTGAACAGTAAATAGAGTATGAACAGGTGGATTTGTCCAGATTGTATTCATATAGGCAGCTTGAGACATTTCTTCTGTATTGTTTAGATGCTTTTTAGGTCATGCGTTGTCATTCTGGAGAAAATGTTTACATGCTTTAATGTAGGGCTGAAGGGCAGCTTTCCCCGTTGCCATGGTTAATCAACGTCCAAATCAGTTATCAAATGATTGTTTTTGTGTGTGTTTTATTTAAGACCAGTTGAAACCCAATCCGGTTCCTCTTGAGTGGTGGAGACTAAAATGTGACCATTATCTGCAGCTGGCTGTTGTGAAGCACTTGCTTTGCATCTCTGCCTCATCAACCAGTGCACATATTTCTCATATGAACAATGGACGGAGTTGCCCCCTCTCACTAGAAATACTCCATTTGGTTTAGGCAAGGGTTGACATCTGAGTAGAGCATGCAGGAGGAGGAGGACTCATCCGTAATGATAACTGTTTTTACACCGATATCAGTACTACATGTATTTAGATATATATGCAGTATCAACAAAAGAGTGGAATGCAATATATAGCAAGAAGAAAACCGTACTAAGCAGCTACACCCAACAACATGCCCACTGGTTCTCTCAGAATTGTCTGTTGGAGACATTGTACTATAGGGAGCTGTCCAGCACAATGAACATGGTCATTTGATCCACTGTCAATATAAAAATATAGAATTAAGCAGTTTAATGCTATTTATTACACCTTTCTGCAGAAGTTACAATGCCTTTTTGTGGAAGCAGACTATGTTTCTCAAAAGCAAAAGAATTCCGATATGGCAGCATTGCATTTTATTATAAAAGATGAATCATTAGATACAATTCAATTTTATTTGTGTAGCGCCAATTCATAACAGTAGTTATCTCAGGACACTTTTCAGTTAGAGCAGGTCTAGACCGAACTAGAAGGGAGTGGGTAAATCCCAGATGCCTCTTTGTTGTCTTTCAACTGCTCTTCTCTTTCACTTATGTTTCTCTTTCTTAATGTTGCTCTCTGGTCCCCCCCACTACCCACCCCATTTACCACAATTAATGTCATTATTTCATTTTTATAATGTCAGTCGGGTGCGTGCCAGTGCCCTCTGGCATTTATATATGGGAATATAAATGTGAAACTAAATGTAAATCAACTTGAAGATGGAAGCTATTCCCTGGGATGCAGTGAGCGATTAAATTCACACACTCACAGAGAGAAAAGACAGGCAGAAATGGAAATGACCCACTTCTACTGCAGGTCAGGAGGCCAGGACATCAACCCACACATCCACCCGAAAGCATGTATGAATACACACATTGATACCCCATCGCACACGCCCATGTGCACGTCCGCTCCAACGAATATATTTATTACACACATAAAGCTAGAATTATTGTGCTACACACACATACTTTACACACAGGGCATATAATATGTACAACAGCCTTCCTCTGTAACTGGACTGTAACCAGGGCATATATAGCTATAATGGTGTTACAGTGTGCGCTGGTACTTCTAATCGGCGTTGGAAGCTTCCTCTTCCTCTCTGTCTGTGAATCTGAGTGTAACGATTCAAATGATGTCTATAAGATGGTTAGTCAGATGTGCTGCTAGATCTTTTATGGTAGAAAAGCATTGCCACGCTGACCTCTGTGTGTGGGTAGAAGGATTTAAATGCGTTGCTTGTGACCGCGCCCAATGTTACACTGCTCAAACACCGCAGTGTTATATTGCTTTTGTGATCTGAAATGTTGAGCCCTCGGACAGCAGCAAAAGGAGGAATTCGAGCTTTTTATTTCTTCAAGAACCACCATGGCTACCTGTTGAACATGCTGAAGTGACTTAAGCTGCACTTTCCCTCATGTTCTGGCTACAAAAATGTCTAAAAAAGGTCCAAACATTGGCCACTAAAAGTGTATTTTGGTGGTTATTTTGAGAATCATTGTTAGAAGGGATATTTATGGCTTCTATTCATGTGTCTAAAACTCTCTCTTTAGATACCATCACCTTATTATATTCCATTTCTGCTAATACATGTTACACACTGGACACCACGCTAAACTAAGATGGTGAACATGGTAAACATTGTACCTGCTGAACTTCAGCATGTCATTATAATTGCACGTTAGTGTGCTTGCGTAGCTCAAAGCACCATGGTGTCAAATTACAGCCTCAGAGATCAATCTATCAGTCTACAATTTATTTTTGTACATTTTCCTATCAGGAATCTGCTACAGTCCTACCCTATAATCTGTGTGTGCTTGACATTCAGGTTTCATACTGTCACCACAAGACCAATATTGAGACAGGGTTGGGTCACAGAGCTAGCACTATAATCAGTGTCCAGTATTTTTAGCTCATGCAATCAGCTTTGTCAATCCTAGCACTGTCTTGTGTGTAGGCATGAGTTTAGATTAAAAATGACCCCGAGGTAAACATTACAGGTAAGAGATGTGTGTCTGTGTGAGTGTGTTTTCATGTAAGACGTTGTAAGTCCTTGTGCCTGCAGATTTCTCTGTACCACAGTAACTGCACATCTTTTGCCATCTCGATGCAATTTAATTTGTCTGTACAAAAAATGTTTTTGTATTTGGTCCTGATGCAGATAGCTGCTGTCCTTGAAGCCACATCCATGGAAGAAACGTTTAAATGCTATCAATATGTCCCAATTATTGCAGCAAACACAGGAAGCAAAAGCATGTGGACTGAATAACAAAGTTTGAAAATAAACTAAAACAAAATTCAATCAAACTTTTTTGATAACTGCCTGCACCTGTGAATATCCGCCAAACTTTTTTATCTTCAAACCACAGAACATCTTTTTTACTTTTTTTATTTTTTTAATACTTTTTTCCCTTTTTGGCTCTTCTCTTGTTTAGCACTCACAAAGCTCTAAAACACAATGTAGTTCATCAAAAGCTTTGTTATGGTATATATTATCTATATATTTATTGTGGTGAATTATGGGTCCTTTTCTCTTCTTTCTCTTTCTGTTCACGTCCACAGCACAAAGACCCCTAAGCAGACTGTATTTGCAGGCAGCATGCAGCTGCTGGCGGGCATCAAGCTGTGCACAGGCAGAGTTCTCACCAACCACCCCCATTATGAAGATAAAGACCTGCGGGAAAGGACCAGACAGGTACTGTAGGCTGCAGTATATTGTCAGACATACACAGGGGTGTGGACACCACCAGAGGGGCTGCAGGATAACACAAACACAATAAATGGACAATTTCAGCTTAGAAGTTAATAGATGGTAATTACAGTGTCGGTTATACAAGTGAGTCATGTTGATTTGAATGCCAATTAGCAGTATGGGAGTCATTACTGTGTGGAGGCAGCACGATTGCATACGTCAATGTCAAAACGCAATTAGACGCAAATTTGCCCACCCAAAACTCCACAAGCACTTTAGTTTTGTCCATTGCTGGCTAGCTTACAGCTAATAATTTTTTTTTACAGTTAGTAGATTGAGGCAAATAAATGTAAATGGTAAAATTTGTGCAAAGGAGAACATTTGCTAAATATTCTGTCAATGTAAAATATGTGATGGTGGAGTTTTATAGCTATGATTAACACTGAAGGGAGTATGTAAATTAGTAGCCAGTAGGAACAATTGGAGGATATATGTGTGAGGACAGGTACATTTTAGGGAGAGGGCTTTAGATCTCGCCATAAATTAGTTAAATGACCACACTGTGTTGTCTGTGTCATCTCCCAAAACTGCTCTTTTTTTTTTACCAACTTTGAATATAGGACAGTTTACCAGTGTTCCTGCTTTATTTTTAGTACTGATCTTGAATGCATCAACTGGTTGGAGAGTGATTCACTGAAATAGTTTGTTTACATTTGAAGCATTCATCCATCATTGCTGCTCATTTGCAAGTTGTTAGTTCACCAGATTGTTGCAGATTATTTTAGTCCAAGACCCAGTTTCTACCAAAATACCAGAAACTCGCTTGGCACTGCCTTATAATTAACCCACTCCTTCTACCTGTGCACCATGAGCTTGTGGATGTGCAAAGCAAATTTCAAGGTCAGGAGAAAGAAAACACAAAGGGTCGAAGCGCTGCTCATTGATTGCTTTGAAGATAAGGTTGTCTCATAAATCTTAATTCAAGGTCTAAAATTATTTATTTTTAAAAATGGTCTTTGTTGTTAAGTTGATTGTTATTGTGTCTTTCAGATTGTCTCCATTTCCTATCTGCTAACCACGAGTTTGAGTGCAGATATTTCAGAACACAAAGTATACAGGATGTCTACTTTATTCAGTTTTCCAAGGTGTTTAATTTTCTTTACAACAGGTGTAACTACTATGCTATTCAGTGATAATTGGCATTTTAAAGCGTTTGAAACAAAGTTTTTCTTTCTAGCCCTTAAAGAAAACCAAAAACACATGAGCAAATGTGTGAGGAATGGATTAAACAGTGTATTATCTGCTCCAACGGAAGCACTCATTCTCAAAAGCTTGTCCTTGATCTACTGTGGCTTGGATTGTACCTCATTTACATGTTGCTTTGGACAAAATCTTCTGCCACATGAGTAAATGTAAAAAAGCATGCCTGACTAACTGTTGCCAATGCATAGGAGCTCATCGTTAACGATATATATTATTTTTGTGGTTGTGGATGAATAGTACTTGCTCTGTGTGGAAGCTGGATGCAACTGTTAGCAGCTCTGTTCTGCTTCCACTCCCTTTTTCTGCAAACCTTTTTTCTTGTTAAGTTAAAAGTAAGAACATACGTTTTTAAATATGAACAAGTATGTAAGCGAAGCAACCAAATAGTGTTATTTTAGAAAGAATATTAGGATGTTGGTAGCTTTAGCCTCAGTGTTTTAGCTCAATACTATGTAGCCAAGTGCACATCGAAGACCCCTTTTACAAGACTTTTGCTTTAAAACAAGTCATCCAGACAACTTTTTAAACCAACTCATGGAACTAACCATAACTTTATTATTATATGTATTTTTTTTTATTACCAGATTCTATATATGTCAGTCACAGTTGTCATTTCAGATGGTAAAAGAAAGGCTAGAAATAATAAGCCTGTTTTTGTGTGTACTGCTGGTGCCAGTAGCAACATAGTGACTGCTGTTGTTCTTGAAGAACACGCAGAGAAAAATATAATTGTGTAATGAAATGATCTTTGTAATGAATATAATACACAATATAACAATATAATACATAATAAATAAATAAATAAAAATGTGACTGTTCGTGTAATAGAGGAAACTGTCCCGCAGTATCCATTCATTCGGCTGTATGTGACCGTGGTGAAATAGGAGGACAGTGTTGTTGGGATTAGTTTTTTGGCGTATTTTAAGCACTGGAGTGGTGTTTCTATCGATCTATTGGCTGCAATCTTTTGTCCTCGAGCATTCAGTGGACGATTCTCCTAACCGACGACTGATGTGTGACAGCTCCGACTGCCAGGGTTGCTATGATTTCCACCTCCTGCTATTTTCCTCCAGACCCTCTCCTTTCTGCTCCCGACTCTATATTCATGGTGTCAGTGAAACCCTGAAAAACTGCAAGTTTTCACTCAAGTTGAAACATTCTCATCTCAAGCAGATCTACTCTCTCTGCCTAAATTTGAGGTGCCCAGAGCAACATTTCTTGTTTGTCTCTGTTCTCATATTTCTATTGACTTTGTTGCAACTACACTGCATCTAAATATCACTTAATGCTATAAAAGTTCAACTGAACAGCAGCACTCACTCTTTTTAAAGTTGTGGTTTGTGGTCAGCTAAGGTGTAAGGAAGAGTGTAAGTCATCTGACATCAAAACACAACAACAATTCAGAACATTGCCATTCTTCAGTTTGGTAAAACATGCTGAATGATTCATTGTTCTGGGTGTCTGTAATTCACATTTGACAAAACAAAGTCTCTTAAAAACCTGAAAGTCAGACTTAAAATGAGTGAACCTTGTGACTTGCCATAGTAGTTAAACATGTCTATATATATACATGAACAATATAGCTGAATAGCCAGCCAGCCAAACTAAAACATTGCTTATATTATCATCAGTTTCTTACAACTTCAGTTGCAAACCCTCGACTAACAGGGTCTTTGAGGGTCTTGAGGAGGAGGATGTGGACTGGTGCATAACCAAAGTGGGCCGACGGCGCATTTCTCTCGCTCTTGTTTTTGTAATAATGATTTCTCCCGGTGCTCCTGATGGCCAGTTCATCTATGTATAACAGTGTTTAGGTGTACTTAGACATTATTTGATGCTTTCTTTTGTTGCCGTTTTATTGTCGTGATATACAACCTTTCAGACATTCAGTCCGAATTTCCAGAACTTGCTTTTGCTCTAATGACAGCCTCTGTCTTACACAGAGAAATCTGTATTGTGCGACTGCAGCTGAAGCCACATTGCCTCACCCATCCGTCTCACTTAGCTCTGTGCTAATGTCTTGCATGAGAGATCAGGGAATTGTCTGAGTCTAGATGGGGGGCCAGTGACCTGCAGTGATTGTGTGAATGAATATGGGATCAGAAGATGCACTGAGTACAGTGTGCATCCATTAAGTGACTTGAGTAGTAAAATGGAGTCTAAAAATGCTGAGCTCCAGCAAAGGAGAGATGAATGGTGACGCTAGCACTTAAGTGCATCTTAGTAATGTATGTGAGAAGTGTTATTAGAGAACATTGTTTTTTTTTTTTTGTTTTATGCTAATGTGGATTCAAAAGGTTTCCACTGTCATTAATGGAGGAAACCACTTTTCAAACCAGGCTGAGTAAATGAAATGTTTCCATTTGATTCTGTTTGTTTTATAAATTCAATTGTTTGTTAAAAGGCATAAAAAAAGTTTTCATAATGTTTACATTTTTTACATCGTGTATTCACAATTATTCTTCCCTTTGACCTGCCGTGCTTGTCATTATTACATGCTCAGCTAGTAGATTGAGTCATTGCCTGATACTGACTGGATGTTTAGAATTTGAAATACAAAACTTGACATCCAAAAACATTGATTACAAAACAAACACACATATGACTGATGAAAAACACTGCAGAAAATAAACGCAGCTATCATTCGTTTGTTTCTGCCTCTGCTTCTGTGTGTCTTCCTCGCAATGAGCAGAAAGTAATGTGTGGGTCATCTCTTGGGTAGCCAAGTTCATGTTTTGCCTCCCAGCAGGAAGTGGGCCATGCTGAGCCGATGGCGAGGCCTGGGCTTAGCGTGGAGCTCATTAATGATCCACGACACTGGTGCACGCCTTCTGGGCTGTGAGTGTGTGCATGTGTGATATTGAGGAGGAAAACTGTGTAAATGCATTTAAAACATTTGTAAGAACCTTAATGATGTTTCCAGTTGTTTTTTCTTTTCTGGCCTTCATTTTCGTGTCACTACAAAATAATTCATTAGTGGGCAAAGTGCAGTTATTTTCTATATACATGCTTTGTTTCTTTCTTTCTGAATTAATTCAGTTGCCCAGCGGGCATGCATCGGAATTGGGAAGCAACCATTGAAAAGTTTTATTTTTTGTGTTATATTGTGATTGTAACACAAATACACCTTCATAAAGCTTCATGTACAGGGTTTCCTAAACAGAAAAGGTGGTGCTTTAAGGATAACATTTATAATTTTCCTTATCGACAATAAATCCCATGAAAAGACCAAATCCAACAATGTGTTATACAATGGCTATTTTATTTTCTAAAGCTGTAGATTTTAGCCATCAGGATGAAATATTGCATTTGTTGGGGACCATTGTGGCGATTAAGTGAAATGTCACCCAGTGCAACAGTGTGTCTTTTCATGTTATGTGTTTTTCATAGTTTCTAGACGATTGAGCTCTATGGCACAGAGGAATGACGCTGCATTCATGTGGTGTCAGAATAATTGGTAAAACGAGTTCCAGACTTAGAAAATTCATGTGAACGCTCCCCCAAATGGGAACAACTGGGAAAGTCAAACATTTTAAGGAAATGTTGGGTTGATGGTAATAAATGTTTTGGGTTTTTTTTTTAATTAGGTTGTAACCATTAGTTGCTGTGTAGTGTGACCTAGATTAGTTATTTATTAGAATTTGAACAAGTCAGGTAAAGCAACATTTTATTGGTTTTAGGGAATGTACTGATACACAATACTAATACAAAGCTTCAAACTGTTTCTGCATACTTTGACAGCAACATAAATCTTATGAATCTCAATAAAATACAAGCATCCATGTTGTTTCTATGTAACGACTTAGAGGTAAGTCAGAAGAACAGAGCAAATGCATGGACCATAAGATACATCAGGATGTGATGCACACACAATCAACTTGTTGGTTTGTGTCTTTTAATGCGTTTTGTTGACAGTAAGAAAAATATATCACCAGACTCCTTCATTCAGAGTTGAAGCACGCAATATGAAAGCCTCTGTGCGCTGTGCATGTAACAAGCTGGGACACGGATTACCTTTTTACAAGAGTTTTGGGACATTATTCTTAAAATAACAATTCTAAAAATAAAAATAAAAAAGTTCTGATTTGCAGCTACAGCTAGTGTTATGAGTGTTCGAGCCACTGGTGGGACTGCAGACTTTTTGTATTGTAGGACAGTTTTTGCTCCGTCACCCCTCCCTCTGTTAGTAACCAGATCAGATTCTGTCACTCCTCACTAGAATTAATATCTGGAAATGTTTGATTAGTATAAGCTGTGAATCACTGTGGACTGACAGAGCTCCATCCCCAGACTTTACTTCCTCTTCCTATGCATCACTGCCTCGTTAACTCGTTCATTACTGGAGTGAGCAGTAAACTGATATATCTGACATATGAATTATCATCACATGGTGGGATTGCTAGCAGAAAGTAGCGCACATGCCATGCACACAACTCTTTCCCATGTTTTCCTACATACCTTGCATAAATGTCATACTCAGAATTTGGACATTTAAATAAAATGGCATTGGTAAATATCGTGCCTGATATAAGTAATGGAAGTGATTCTAGTCACAGCCAAGGTCTTCATTTGTATAAACTTGCAAGTTGGTTTGTCACTGCAGTGTTTCACTCCTTATTTAAACCAAAACCCCATAAACACCTGTAAAACAATTCAGTATTGCAGCACTTATGATTTGCATAATTTGTCTATTTAAATCTGCTGTTGTGAAAAAGTTGTATTTCGTCTGCTACAAACGAAAGATGAACCATAACAGATTTCAGAAATCTGAGATCTGTTATGTTTAACACTTTTGTGTTTTGTTCTCCCCCCTGATTTTGTTTCACTCATAATTGTTTTCCTTCAGATTTTTCCAGTAAACATGTTATAATTGAATCTAAACCAACTTTCATCAAAACTATAATTCAGAAAATAAATGTGCCTGGTAATTGCGTTCCAGGAGAGAGGTTTTCTCCTTCCAACAATATTGGTGTTAAATTAGGAAGCCAGATGATCTTTAGGCAAAAAAAAGGCAATCATAAAATCCACACAAACCTAAACTTCACTTCCAATCTGTGTGTCTGTGTTTGTGTGTGTGTGAGCAGGTGTATCAGGTGTATGCTCGCCGCTCCCCGGAGGAAGTCTACGACATCCTGAGGGCCGCCGGGGCCGACTACGTGGTGCTGGAAAACAGCATCTGTTACGAGCGGAGGCACAGGCGAGGCTGCAGACTGCGGGACCTGCTCGACCTGGCCAACGGACATGTGGGTGGCATTTATTTAACATGACTCATCGAGTGTGTGTGTGTGTGTGTGTGTGTGTGTGTGTGTGTGTGTGTGTGTGTGTGTGTGTGTGTGTGTGTGTGTGTGTGTGTGTGTGTGTGTGTGTGTGTGTGTGTGTGTGTGTGTGTGTGTGTGTGTGTGTGTGTCCGTGTGTGTGTGTGTGTGTGTCCGTGTGTGTGTGTGTCCGCATGTGCCCGCATGTGCCATACCCTCTGCCAACTTCTGTGACTGTGTGAAAGCTCTCAGCCTCCGCACAGATCAATAGTCTCACTTTTCATCTGCACGTCACTGTCTCTCACTCTCTGCCTGTCGCTCTCTTTCATTCTTCTTACCACTGCCACCACCCCTCCTTCCCTCCCTCCCTCCCTCCGTCCGTCTGTCTCTACTTATTTTGATGTCGGATGCGGCGCGCTGGCTATTTGGATTACCAGAGGCGAGACCAGCTTCAGTCTGGCTGTCTAGCTCAGTGTGGTGTAAGACACATGAAACACAGACTTGGTGCGGGTCTGTGTTTGTGACGGCGTAAATGTCACACAGCACACACATCTGACATCTAGACAGGTTTATTGAGGGAACGTTGGGTTTACATCTGTCTGTCCTTTTCTTTCTCTAACACTTTCTTTTGTTTTCTTTGTTTTTCTGTTTTGTTTTTTTACTTATTTCTATCTGTCTTTTCTTTCTTGTTTTCTTCAGTTATTTTTCTTTCTTACCCTCCATATTGTCTTGTCTTTCTTTCTTGTGAACCACAGCCTTCATTCCAAAACCTCAGTTTTAGGACTACACATAAACTGGAATGTACTAATAGCAGAGAATGTTGGCAGCACTTTTTACCTGCCCCGTCTTCTCTGCCCGACTAAAGGGATCAATGAAAAAACCTTTTTGTTGTTTTTACATATTTTATGTGTTCACGTTAAGGGTTCTTCTTTAGTATTTGTATATGGAAAATGTAATGAGTTAAACACTTTCTGATTTCTGAAAATAAAATTGTGGCCAAGTTTGGCTTTTTAAGTCCCTGAAAACTTAGTTTGAAATCTTTCTCTATAATGTAAAATATTCATGACTATATATGCAACAATCCATTTCAGTTTTAAAAAAAAAACATCCTTAGGTATTATTAAGAGAACTGATCAGGACTGCTTCATCAGGACTGCGTAGGTGTGCTTGGATCCGATTTGACTGACAGTCTTCTGGAAACATAAGCAATCATGTTAGGATTAAAGGCATTCTAAGTAGGACTTTTTCATTGCTGTTTGTGAACACACCATTTAAGTTGATCTCCTCTTCCCCGGCTCAACTCCTCAGCCACTGCTGTGGTCGAGAGTGACCAAGGAAAGGGAGCAATGTGTCAGATAAAAAAGCAGTGAATTGGAGAATGAAAACATCTTCAAATCATTTTCTGACTGTTAATACAGCAGTTATTTTCCAACGCACCTCCACACAATCCTGCTGAAGGTGTGCATTGCCGGACTTTGTGTGAATTCAGCCGAAGCTGTGCTGTGTTGTGTGTTCTTGTGCAGCTCTTTATACATCCACAGTCTCACATAGCCAGACCGAACTCTACGCTTTGTTTCAGCGCTGTGCCAGAGCTAGAGATACATCCATGGCAGACAGCAGAGGAGAGACACAGAGACAGCGATGTAACATTGTTCTCTGATACAGACGCTGGATGATGGACTGGATTATTTTTTATCTGAGTTTTATTATTTTATTATTGTTTTTTGGAAAATCCTACTTTGTATGCCTTTTTAAAGGTTTCTGAACTATGATTGGTGCACAGCCCACTTCAACAGTGAAAAACAAAAAGGAAGGACAAACAAACAAACAAAAAATCATTTTCAGGTGCAATAACCAAAACTGTTGCAACCGTGGCCGAACATATTGTAATCATGTGGGATCCAATCTTTTATAGGAAGAAGTTGTTTGAGAAAATAGGTTTTCAGGACCTTTTAAATGTTCCATTAATACTATATGCCTTTCTTACTTCTTCGCTATTACTTCGCACCGACTTTTGTAAAATGAGTTTCTGTCATACAGCACCAAATAGGATTCTTTTATTGATGCAAGCCTAAATAACCATTTTCTAGTATTTCTTCCTAGTTTCTCTTTAGCCTCTCTACTTCCAATAAAAATAATCCATTAACCCAGAATCTCTATGTATAGTTAAGAAAAATAAAAAAAAAAACATGTTTATAAAGAATCAAAATGCTAATGCAGTCCTGTAGAGTTTCTGCCACATCCAGCTGGCAGGAGCTCAAAGTGAAATCGGAGCCTGTAAAAGGCTGTTGCTCACCCCGCTGCTGGTGTTTATTTACAGCAACAACATCTCTAACGTGTTGATGATGTATTCATTAACACGTGTCAATCAATAACACAGGAATATACATTAGTGTGTACCTTGTGTCAGTCTTCTCATTTGATTATGATGTTCATTCTCTGTTCCATCAGATCATGGACGGGCCGGGAGAGAATGACCCAGACCTCGTCCCCGCCTCCCACCCTCGATTCTGCGAGGCCATCAAGACGGACACGGCGGCTTACACCTCTCTGTTCACCAGAACATTCCAGAACAAAACCTTCCACGTGTACCGGGTCAAGAAAAAACGCAAGAAAAGCGCCAAGAGCTCGTCAGAGCCCGGCGCGACTCAGTAGCGGGAGCAGAAACCCCGTCAGAGGCCAGAGGGGAGAGAGATGGAGGAGAGGAAGAGATAAAAGCACTGAATCCTCACTGTTCCTCTGTCTCCTCTCTGCACCGTGCCCGGCTGTGATCATGCCCATTATTTTTTTAACACCTAGCTCTGTGAACTGTGGTGTTAGAGCAGTGGGCCAGTTCAAGCTTGGGGCTGCATTGTTTTAGTTAGTGGAGTGTGGAAGCACCTATAGGAGTCCTGCTTTGGGCTGTTCTGTCTCCACCCGCCGCTCTTCCAGCCCTCACTGGTGCAGATGAACAGACACAGAAACAACTATTAGACCTCTAAGCAGCGTCTGGAACACCACAAGCGGCTACTAATAATTTAGTTTCATTTGAAGTAGTCAGTGTTCTTTCTTCACAGCGTCATGAAAAAAACAAAATTAATTAATACTTCTCTTTCATACAGAGCAGGCTTGGGATTCAATAGCATTTATCTAAGTTACTCTAGTCAGGATCCTTTAAAATACAGTATATTACACATTAGCACAGAGTTCTTCTTTGCCAATGAAAATAAGGAGAGACAATAGATGAATTTTAAAAGTTAAGCAGTGATCTCTAATACCCCAAAATTAGAAAATATAACTCTGGTAGACCTCAAGAAATGATGTAGATCCATTTGGAAATGACCTAAATCTTGATTATTTTATATGAGCAGCAACTATTTCTTACTTTGACTAAACGGTTCCAACTCAAGGTGCCCTTATTTATACTGCATCAGTGGAAGACCTCAGTTGTAATGGTTTCCTGTCTCTACCAGAGAGTGGCACAGCAAATGAACCTTATACAATAGTTGGTTCTGAGCTTGCTGCTTTAGTGACTGCTGGAAGGGCTAGATGGTGAACTACTGTATATGTAGCTAACACGTGAGCTAGCCGAGAAAAGCAAGCCACTCGTCTCCCATTCTCCCAGCCTCTAGCTTGGTTTCCAACGGGACAGCCTCACACAGGAAACAGGAGTCAACACTAAAAATACATTTCTCTTTTGTGGAGCAGCTCCTTTGTCTGAGTAGACAAAGGAAGTGAAATAAAAGTAGTCACACAACTAATAAGCTATGATAGTTTCCTCCATCCTGGACTCCGCTCCCCCAAAGGTCAGCACTGTCGAGATTGCTTGCTGTTGGTCGAAGCCAGTATTGTGGAAGTTCACCTCAAGTTGGAAAATTCCCACAGATTAACCTCTTGGATCATGACTGTTCCATTTTTGTACAGCTTTCAAACCTATTGCACGACAACATCACCGATGAAGACCGTGTGTTGTGCTTGAAAGCTTCTTGCTTATTCCATACTAGTATTTTCCTGATTTGGGTCTTTTTAAAAAGCACATTTCTGTGTACCTGAGCTATATGTTCAGCTGCTGGGCTTTACGGGGGCCGTGGTCAGCTGTGGTGTCTGGGGGGGGGGGGGGACCAAAAGCCACACTGAATAAGTTTGACTGTTCGCTTCACTCGGATCAGTTGGCACTTTTTGTCTCGGCACATTTGGCTCCACGGTGATAGATGTTATCAATTACCCCCGAAAAGAAAAAGAGAAATAATGTTGTTAGTTTCGATTCCTGCCCGGGTGTTTTTGCTGTAAAACTGAGGTCAAAGCTGGTACCAAGTGATATTTGTGACACTGTTGTTGTTGTGATTGCTGTTACCTCTGTGATTGTCATCATCAGCAGCCTCAACCTTTTCTCTCTCTCTCTCTCTCTCTCTCTCTCTCTCTCTCTCTCTCTCTCACACACACACACACAGCCACAAACACACATGAATAATGTAAGTGGCGAGGAAATTGCAGCAGGCTGACAACGATACTGATTCCCTGCCGCAATCCAAAATAGTTTGTGTGAGAGAGAGGGAGAGAGAGAGAGAGAGAGAGAGAGGGGGCCAACACTTGCATATCAAACCGAGGCTTTGTGGTTAGAAAAGAAAGTGGGGAGGACAGAAAGGCTCATGTTTAAACAGTAGCAGAGGAGAGATGAGAGCGCATCAAAACACGGATTCACAATGATCTAAACCCCTTCCTCATTTTCTTTTTTCTGCTTTCGAACCAAAGGGAGAGAGCGGAGGAGGGTGAGGAGGAGGGGAGGTGATTGAAAGGCTGGAGCTGCGTCTGTAATTATGGGTTGGGCAGCCAGAGCTTCCTGCTACAGTGAGCCGTTCCGTGTGCATATGACACACACGTACACACACACATTTCCCCCCTCATCTCAGCCTGCCTATATCTGTACACATGTTAATAAGGACCTGTGTCTTTGATAATCAACACACTCGCAGACGCACACGGTTGTTGTGGGCCTTTGGAAAACATGTTGTTTGTTAACCGCGCAGTCTCATTGTAATGCGTACCCCCCCCCCCACCTTCATGTTGGATGTTTAATTTAGGAGATGTCTGATTGCTTTATTTGAGAGCCAAGTGATTCCATTATGTTTGCCTAATAAGAGTGTACTAATGTAATATTTTTTTCAGCATCCTTAATTTCCATACATAGTGGGATTAGTAGTTCATTCCGAGGCGCACTGTCTGCCTATGGTTTACTTAATGAAAGGGAGAGGAGATGAAGAAGGCCATTAACTTGTGCGCACATGTAGAATTCAGCTCAACACTCCATTCAGGCTTGTTTTTAAAGAAAAAGAGTCGATGTTGCTGAAATAGAATTGAAGAGAGGGATTTTCTTTGCCATAAATCAGACCAAAGGCCAAATCCAGTCAAATCTGCATCTGTATTCTCCCTTCTACAGAAATCTGTAACTGTTGTTTTCAGTCTTTGTATATTGCTTCATACACTATATGGCCAAAAATATATCAACACCCTCTCAATACACTCATATCATTCAAACCATATTTGCTCATTTGCTGTGGAGCTCTAGACGTCGTTCTGTGATTCTGAGCACTTCTATGACTCCATGTTGGCTCCGTAATGTTTTGACTTAAATTTTTTTTGTCCTCCTCCTGTAATAGGATTTTAGTTTTGAATATTTCTTTATTTGCATCTTGTACCATAGTTTTAACAACGTATTTAATGCTCCTGTAAACAGTTGTTGCATTTTTTCTGCTGGAGTAAACAAAGCTGAATGGTTTGAAAGCAGTTGCCTTGTTGTTAGTTTAAAAAGAAAAGTTTTAATTTATCCAATAAGGTCTTGGGACAGAATGGACCTGCCATGCTGAATTGCACCCTGAAGTTGAACTCCACTCTTATCTGGAGGTTTTTGGAACCTGGCTGCAGGGATTTGATCCAGTTCAGCCATAGGAGCAGTAGTGAGGTCGGATAGTGATACTAGGTGATGAGAATCTGAAAACTAATAATGAGGGGAAAGTGGGAGAGTATCCTGGGTAATGCTTGACAGGCAGATCCAAACTAATTCTAAATGTCTCATTTGCCAAAGTTTGGGTCAAGTTATCATTCAGTGTAAAGTCTCCCTCCTGTTTGTCTTCTTCCTGCAGTTGGATATTTGCTCTTCATCTGCTGAAAGTGGAGTCACTCACTGAAAACCTGATTTGAAGGGGTGGGGCCTATGAGCATGATTTGTGACGTCACAAATAGTTTGGTAATATGTAATATTATGTGGTAATAGTACTTGTACAGTGTGATGTAGAAACTGGAAGTCACCAGTGCACATCCACTGAGAATGGCCTTCACAGTGAAGTAGGAGACGTCTTGTGTCCAGCAGGAAAACTTTAGAAATGAATATTTGCATATTCTGAGATTCTGGAAGTTTCAATGAGGTAGGAGGCGGAGATGGATTTTAAAGGATTTTAATGTGAAAATGTTTCTTTTTTTGCAGAAAAAAATGAGGTCAAATCAGTGTTCAGGGGCATGTTGGCGCTGAAGCTTGAGATTGTTGATTTCACTGTAAGACATTTTGTATTAATGATGAACTGCAGTTCTGATGCATGTGCCAGTCTTAGACAAACCATTTGGAACCATGTGGAAGCATCTGAACAGATGATCCAACTGGACCAGTGCCATATAAATACATTGAAACTATTTATGAATGTGAAATTTCCATGTGGAGTATAAGGGTCTAAGTAGAATGTGATGAGGAAACACTATATACTGTGCACACATTGGTACTTCAGAGGTGGCTTTTATATAAAGGAAGTTCTTGGTACATTTTGATTGGCCAACATGTTGGTGACTCTTGAGTGCACAGTGAGTTAAATGCAGGGAACTGATGCACCTTAAAGGCTACGTAATTGCTGTGACCCCGAACATCGTCATCGTCACAAGTACTAATTCATTTAGTTTCACTTGACCAACAAGGACAGCTGTCAGAGAAAGCCATCTACTTGTGTTTATTTGAAAGAGGAATATTGCGTTATGTGTGAGTGCCTTTCGTAATTTTCTCCATTTTGTTCTTTTTTCCAAGAATCAACTAACATGTGTGGCTGGGTTTTCTACTGGAGGACGTTTTTCATATCAGAAATCATTCAAACTAGTAAATGTTTATTCTGTAATAATAGTTCTCATGGTACATTATTGGTGGAAGGGAAATGTCAGAGACTGAGTGGAGCCTGAAATATTTTCCAGTGTTCGATATGACACATCATGTTCAATGGCAGTATGATCAATAAAAGTTTTGTTGCAAAACAATGTAAATTCCTTGTTCGTCATTATGTGAGGCCAGAACCTTTGTTTCTTTTAATTCTTCACTTTCTTTCAGATGCAGTCACGATTCAGCAGTCACTGGTGCAAATAAATGAATTTTATTGAGAAAAAAAAGATCAAAGCAAATACAAAACACTTACATAACTGTCCAAAGCTCATCACCATCATGATGATAAAAAAGATATGTTTGGTTTGACTTTTTTTTTTTCTCAGAAGCTGCACATTTTTAAACCTATAGTGCTTTTCTTGACAAAAAGCAATAACTGTAATTAATCTATCTCTGTATTTACAAATGAGGTAAAAACATTAACTTTGTTCACAACATGTCTGCACCCAGAACACAACATTTAAGAAGCTGTTATATGGTACAAATGAATGGTAGTGGGAAGTGAGTCGCTGCTCCTTAACAGCTGCAGAGAGAGAACAGAAGCGTCTTCATCCTCCACTGTGCGTGGCTCAGGCTCGGGCCCTCGAAACAGAAATAAATAACAAGCATCTCCTCTCTAGGAAATCCCCACTCTATAAAAACGGGGGGAAAAAAGCCTGTGTGTCTTACTTTTCAGGCATCATCCCACCGCATACTGCACCCTCACCTGACCGCCAAGTCTCTTATTTTTAAAAGCCACATTGTTGCCTCTGCTTTTCATGTTTCTTGGAAAGCTGCAATCTGGGAATTGACTCTCCTGTCTTTTTTTTTTTTTTAAAGTACCCGCAATCCTTTGGTTTTTTCCAGCATGACAGCAAGCCATCAGCTCCTATTAGGATTAGTGGCCTGACGTGTTTTCAAACAGTCCTACCCTTTAACTGCTCTCTGCTGTCAGGCTCGGCTCTGCCAGCGTAAAGATGAATAAAAAGAGCGCTGCTGCTTCCAGCAGCAGAATACGGCGCCTGAAATGTCAGGTGAAGCCAGGGTTGGCTTTTTGGGAGAAGTGTGGGGAGAGGGAGGAGGTGTGGACACATGGCTTTTGTATTTATGCCATTTGCTGTGCAACAAACCGTTTCTGCAGAAAACCATTACTCCCAGCATCCCCCCCACATCTCTACAGCTCCCTGCTGAGCTCCATGGTGCACTGGTGGCACATTTCACCACCAAGCACTTGATAAGATGGTTCCTCTCTGCCTCCCTTCGTCATTTGCTCTCTGATTCAACCCTCTACCCTGTAATCATCGCTCTTATCAAAGGTGAAAAGAACAGGTCCTTTTCAGACTCCCCTCTTCCCCTTCACTGCCTCTTATTGTTCTTTGCCTTTTTGTTCTTTTTAGACAAATTGTCCTCACTGGTTCCACAACAGCAGGGAATCTTTTTTTGTCTACCAGGGGGAAAAATAAAGAGCCGTCAACCTGATGTGACAAGCCAAATAAGAGGAATGTTTGCCACTGTGCTGACTATTCACAGCTAGGATAATAACTGCAGAGTTATTTCTTTGCAATTTTCTATCAGTCCCCACAATCACAATTATCACACTGTTTGGGCCTGGAGTATGCGGTAATTTAGCGAGGGCCAACAGATAAATGTGTGTGTGGATTGCACAGCTCAGGCCTATATATGAATAATCATTATAAATCTCCTTCATCCTCGCCCTCTTTGTGTTTGTATTTATTGAGTAGTCACCTTGGAAAGGCCTTTGACATAGTTTGTATTCTACCGAGCAATTGTCTGTTAGAGTAGTCTCTCGCAGACGCCACATTTGGTATGCCTGAGGAAGAGTGTACGCGGAACAGAGCAACAGAGCAAGTATTTCCTCCCTCCCGCAGTCCGCACGTCCGCTCCCATTTCTTCATTACAAAGCTGTTTGAATTTTCGTGCAACCTTCCCCCGAGTGAGGAGGAGCGAGCGGCAGAGGAGTGCGAATGAGAATAGGAAATCACACTAAGACGAGGGCGCAGTAGTAAGTAGAAAGCTTGATGTCTTACAACCCACGGAGCGTTGAAACTTGAAACACCCAACCAATACAGAATTACTCAACCTAGCGAAAGACACATTACCAGAAAAAAGAAAAGGAAAAAAAAATCTCACCCTGCAACCCAGTGATGGTCGAAGCACTTTTTTTTCTCATACAAACATTGACAGAAGCTGTGTACAGCCAGGCAGCGAGAACACAATGTGTCCACTATATACTGAAAATCCAGACTTGTATGGGCTACTCAGTATGATCCCACTCTTCTTCACTGTCTTTTCATGGAACGGTGCAGTGTGGGATAAGAGTACTTCGTTTATTTACAAAGATTTCATCCAGCAGCAGTGTCTTTAAAAATATGTGTTGTGTGGCATTGACTTGCACAGGTATATAAAAAAAAAAAGAACATTGCCAAAAGATTTTCATGTCACATTTTAGGCCTTCAACTGACACTCATCCAGAGCTGCTCACAATGAGTGTTAGAAAATAGAGGAAATTTGGGGTTTTAGTGGCTGTGACTGGAACACATTTTTCCGACAGTGAAGCTAAGCTCCATCATGATGAGTAGCCCAGGTAGAGGGTGACGTTCTGAAGCCTGTAACCTGACTGGCAGGTTTGGTAACGTCTGCCCCTGCGAAATTGTCATCCAAGGTAGAGGCAGCGCAGAGCGACAGGCTCTTTTCACAGGGGCACTTTGATCTGTCTGTTAGGCCACCGTGTTGATTGACAGGGCTCATCATCCAGTAAATACAACACCTTCTGTGTCAGTGAGTAAGGTGTGCCGAGCGAGTCTCTCTGTCAGTCAGTCTCTCGCTGTTCTCCCGCCTCGGTTGCCGTTAAGCGTCCGCTAATTGATTGTTTCCGGACGGCCCGCTATCAGGGTCCTATCATCAGTCTGGTCTGTGTGTGTCTGTGAGCTCAGAGGTCGCTGGCCTCGGCTCGCTCGTACAGCGCCCGCAGCTTCTCAAAGCGGGGCCCCCACTCCCCGAGCGTCTCCTCTCTCCTTCCCTCCCCTGCCCCGTCTCCGCTGCTCCCTCCGTCCAGCCCCGCTGAGCTGAAGGAGCTCAGAGAGCCGGCCGGCGAGCCCCCTCCCTCTGTGGAGAAGACCTGCAGGGAGTCGAACGGCCCCGTGTCCGGATGCTGGTCGGCATCGCGTATGATCTCACACAGGTAGCGGGCCAGGTCCTGGCTGGAGAAAGAGAGGGAGCGGCGGGCCAGCTGGGAGGGTCGGGTTTGGCCCTGGGCCGGAAGTCTGGTGGGGGGGACGTCCCTACGGAGGCTGGTGGTGGTGGTGGCGGTAGAGGAGGTGGATGCTGCTGAGGGAGGCAGGGTGGTGGAGCTGGCTGTCCGGCTGAGGGGGTCCAACGGCTGGGCAGAGGGTGGGGCGGGCGCCGCCTGGTGAAGGAGGTGGTGATGGTGGTGGTGGGGAGGAGGAGGGTGGTGCAGGGCTCTGGAGCGGCTGTACTGCACCGACTGGGCCGGGCTCGGCTGGAGGGACTTCTGCAGCTCCGCCATGTCGTAGGCATTCTGGACACACACAAATGCGCCAAAGCAAAGGAAAAGTCCCAGTTAGCACAGACGCCATAAAAACGGATAGATAAGAGTGAGCTGGACTAAAAGAATGAGTGTTTAGGGGAGAGAGATGAGTCAGAAAAAAAATGAAATGTGACAGAGAGAGAGCAGAAAAATGAAAAGAGAGCAGAAAAACAATCAGCTCTCCCCATTACGCTTACTGTGAATGTTCCACCTATTTAAGTTTCCAATCTATCTCCATTTACTGTCTCAGAGAAGTCACAGTAATTTTGAGTATCTGTGTGTGTGTGTGTGTGTGTGTATTGTGTGTGACACCAAGAAGGTAAAGGTGGAGGTGATTCAGAAAGGAGACACAGGCCGTCTCTCTTTCTATCCATGTCCTATGTGCACTGGTGCATTGGGGTTTGGGAGCCGCCATTACCTTCACATACACTGTAACAGCCAATCACTTCAGTATGAATGTGATTCCACCAAAACTGTAACCACGGCAGCAGGGATGAAAAAACAAGGGGGGTGTAGGAGGAGGAGGAGGAGGAAGAAAAGATACACACGGAGGAGGTGTGGGTTGCTTTGTAAAACTGATTATGTGATGAGTGGAAAGCGCTGGTTTTATTCCTCCAGAGAGCTTTCAAACAAGACTCTTGAGAATTAACTGAAGCATCTGCTCTGCCATTGGGACTGTGTGTGTGTGTGTGTGTGTGTGTGTGTGTGTGTGTGTGTGTGTGTGTGTGTGTGTGTGCATGCATGTATGTGTGTCGTTCTGCAGGTGATTAACAGTAGGGAGGACAAGACCTTGAGGCTTTTGGGGTACTGGCAAGGTATATGTGTATGCAAGTCTTGTGTGTGTGTGTGTGTGTGTGTGTGTGTGTGTGTGTGTGTGTGTGTGTGTGTTGGCCACATGCGTTTCCTTCGATCAGAACCGTGATATTATGCAAGCTCTTAAGCGCTGTTGAGTGCTTGTGGGTTACAGTGGCTGTTGGAGAGAGGAGATAAGGATTTCACGTGGGCCTAATTAAAACGCTAGCGTACACACACACACACACACACACACACACACACATACACACACCTACGCACACACAAACACACACGCACACACTGGAGGATTCTATTCCAAATTGAATTGACCGAATCCACTATACAGCTGCTATCTTGCATCCACTGCTAATTGTTTCCAAAGTGAAAGTGATCTTCAAATGATGCAGCTGCAAACATTTCACATTAAAGGTTATATATGATATTTTAAATATTCGTATAGCAGCAACCAACTATTAGCTATGTAAACATACAGTGGAGTCATGGTGTCCTGAGCAGAGGGTGACGTCTCACTCCCTCTGCCTGTGTTGCTATCACAGCCTCTCTGTGGTTTGGTTATAAAGCTGGCCTGGCCATGCCGGAGTCCCTCTGTTTCCAACTGCAGTTTTTCTCATCTATGTTGGTGAATTTTAGAGAGTTTTAGAGTTTTATTTTGTTTCTGTTCACTTTGAATGAAGTTACAATGATATGCGTGGTAAAATTACCAGTTATGTCTATGGATTAAAGTGACCAAACCAGAGTTGG